CAGGGATGAGACTTCCACAACTTCTCCAGGAATTCCATCCCAGCCCCTCACTCACTTCACAGCCAGGAATTCCTTCCTAAATGATGAACTTGGAACCGTTTTTGTTCATTCCATCCTGTTTCTCCCCGTTTTGATGTCTCCCCAGTAGCACCTTTGGGAAAAGGATCTGGATCCCTATTCCCAGGCAATCTATTCCAGGGAAATTCAGAATCACACCTCCCTGTACAAATTCTGGCTATTCCAATCCCAGAATTCTGGATTCTCCATTACCTCCACGTGATGAAGATGCCAACATTTCTAAAAGGGTTTTTTTCCATGCCTGGGATGTCAGAGCAGGGAATCCATGTTTGATATTCCGATGGTTTTTTCCATTCCACATCCCATTATCCATTTTTATTCTTTTTTCTACATCCATTTCTCAGCTCCCTGGATATAAAAATAAACAGCTGGAATCCAAGCCCATTCCCAAAAGTGGCATTTAATGGACTCCAGAGCTCCAGCTGCTTGCCGGCACTTTAATGGGAAGCAGAACGTACACCTCCCTGTACAAATCCTGGCTATTCCAATCCCAGAATTCTGGATTCTCCATTACCTCCACGTGATGAAGATGCCAACATTTCTAAAAGGGTTTTTTCCATGCCTGGGATGTCAGAACAGGGAATCCATGTTTGATATTCCGATGGTTTTTTCCATCCCACATCCCATTATCCATTTTTATTCTTTTTTCTACATCCATTTCTCAGCTCCCTGGATATAAAAATAAACAGCTGGAATCCAAGCCCATTCCCAAAAGTGGCATTTAATGGACTCCAGAGCTCCAGCTGCTTGCCGGCACTTTAATGGGAAGCAGAACTCTTGGAATTAGCCAGCCTGGAATGTCTCGTCCACCCACTGGCACACCAGGAATGGGATTCCTGCTCCAGACCCTCTCCAGTCTTGGCTTCTCCTTGGCACAGGGAGGACTTGGACACAAAGGTTTGGAATTTTTCCATGGAGCCCAGAAGCTGTCCAAGGGCAACTTTCCCAATGGTGAGGAGAGGATGGAAAATTGTCCTCACCAGTGGAGCTCTGAACCGTTGGGATTTGGTTCTCCATGGACTTGTGGCTCCCCATCCCGGGAAATGTCCAAGGCCAGCTTGGAATGGGCTTGGAGCATCCTGGGATAGTGGTAAGTGTCCCTGCCCACAGAATGGGATGAGCTTTAAGGTCCTTTCTCTGAACTATTCCATGATTCCGTGATCCTGTGACTTGGGAAGATGAAGGATCATGGAAAAATTCCAACCTCAAGGCAAGGCCCAACCCCACCTCAGCTGCTGCTCCCACTGGAATAAAATCTGGGATGCATCCACAGCCTTTTCCTCTCTATTTTATCCCAATTTTTGGTTTTTCTGCTTGGCCAGGATTTATTCCCAGCTGTTTTCTGGTTCCAGATGGGTTAAACAAGCCTGGGAATTCCAATCTCATCCCACAGGGAATCTCCCTTCTCCAAGATATCCCAACTCTCTTCCTTGTCTTTTTTCTATGTCCAACTCCCTCCCACTCAGTTCTGTAGGAAGGCTGGAATTTCCCAAAATTAAATATTCGGGAAAATCCCTGTTTTGTGCTAATTCCTGGCTGGGATGGAGGTGGGAGAGGTAAGAAAGAGGGAATGATCCTCTCCAAGTTCATTTTTTAGGACTGAGTTGAGAATTTTAAAATTAAGTCATTAATAATAATTTAATTTATTAAAATTAATTAATTCATACTAAATGAATTAATAATTAATTAATTTATTAAAGTCTTCAACATTTCTGGGATTTATGGAGTTCAGAACATGAGGGAGATGATCCCAGATATATCTCCATCACCCAGAAAATTTGGGATTTCTGGTATTCCTTAAAAAAAAAAACGGTGTTGGAACTGAAGGAAAGTTCTGTTATCCTAAGGGAATAGGAGTATTTTTAGGTTTTTATCCTTTCAAAAGAAATAATGGAATTCCCAATCCCTGATTATTCAGGTAACTGGAAAATAGAAATAAAATCCAACCTGTATTTGTGTTGTTGTCCTGTTTGTTTTCCCTCGGATTGCGTAATTCCTTAAAAAAAACAGGAATTATTTGGAGGCGCCTGACTCCGATTTCTCCCAGTCCCTGGGGTGAAAAGAGGGATGAGCTTTTCCTGGCATTCCAGCACGGAGAACTCCAAACCTCTCCAATGACCTCCCTGTCCCTCTTTGGAGTTGCTGGGAAGCTCCAAGGCCATTCCCACCCTTTGGAAGTGACTCATCTCAATTGTTCCCTGTTTTCCATGGAGGGAGACAATGAATCCAGGCTTTGTTTTCCAGCCACGGATTTGCCAACGGATGATTCTTCCCACTGTTTTTATTGGCAAAGAGGAATTGTAAACCTCTGGTGTATCCTGGGGTTTCTTTTTCCCACTTTTCCATATCCACCAAATCCTATTTTTCTTTTTTGGCTTGGGACAGAAGCAGAACCTTTGGAATCTGCTCCAAAGGGTGAAAAAAAACAGGGATGAAGAGGTTCCTTCCTCCTCCACTGACGCCAGGAATTCCATTCAGTTAAAGTGCCCTGGCTCCATGATTTTCATAAACATGGGATTAGGCTGTTTCCAGGGAAAACCTCCAGGAGATCCCAGCACTGAGGTGGGAGAATGGATGAATTTCACTTCCATGAGTTCTGGGAAGAAGGAAAAAGAGGGAAAAATGGGCTAGATTTGGGAGAACTGCCACTTCCCAAATTTGTGAGGCTCTAATTCCCAACCCTTCCTGGGATGCTGGACTTGGATGGGGCCTGGATACAAACCACAAGTGGAAAAGGTGGAGAGGATGGAGGGAAAAGTGGGAAAATACCAAAAAAGAAAGGAAAGCAAAGGGAAACAGCACTGGGAGAGGTTTGGATTGGATATCAGGAAGAATTCCTTCATGGAAAAGTTTGCCAAGTATGGAAATTCCTGATGTTCAACCCATGGGACAAGGAATGCTGGCAGGGACAGAGTAGCCAAGGGTCAGGGAATCTCCCTGGAAACATCCCAAATGCCAAAGAGGGGCACTCAGAGAATCCTAAAAGTTGGGAAAGATATCCAAATCCAACCTTCAAAATCCTGTTTTCCAGGAAGGTTTGGATTCCCCACTCCTGGAAGTATCCAAGGACAAGGCTTGGGGCAGCCTGGGATAGGGGAAGGTTCTGGATGGGCTCTAAGGTCCATTCCCTCCCAAAACATTCCACGATTACCACAATTCAACTCAATGACCCAAATATCCACCAAACCTTTCCCAAAAGTCAGAATTCCATGGCCTGAATTGGCTTGAGGATGAAGGATTATGGATCCCATGAAACTGGAGGAGCTTCAAGGTCCCTTCCTGGAACTATTCCATGATTCTGGGAATGCTTGGGAAGATGAAGGATCATGGAAAAGATTCCAGCCTTGAGGGAAAATCCAGGCCTACTCCAACCTCAGCTGCTGGAATAAAACCCTGGATGCATCCCGAGCCTTTTCCTCTCTTTTTTTATAGGGGATAAAAATACCCAGCACATTTCAGGGATTGGTTCTTTGGGAAGGCTCCGATGGAAATAGAAAAAGCAGACGGGACAAATTCAATTCGTTTTCCTCTGGAAGCAGATTCTGGACAGAGGCAAACCCAGAGCAGTTTCACGGATCATTTCTTGGGAGTCTCCTGCTGATCCCCACAAATCATCCCTCAGTCCGAGGGTTTGGGCTTTTCTGGGATGAATCCCAACTGCAGCTGTCCCACAACACAGGGTTATCCATGAAAAAAAAGCTGATTTCAGGAATTTGGGGTTATCAATCCGCCTTTAAATTCATCACCACCTTTTCCACAACTGTGTTTTCCAGAGGGGAAGTTCCAGCACCGGGAATCACCATCCTGGGAAAGCCTGAAGGGGTCAGGCCTCAAGGCAAGGCTGAAATGGGTTGCGTTGCTCAAATCCAGGGAAATCTCCAGCTTCCCATCGGAAAACTCATGGATTTGGGAGCCAGGAGGCCACAACAGTGCTTTTTAGGGAGCATCCCATTGGATCAGTGCTCCCATTGGATCTGTGAGCAGAACCCATGGCAGGCCCCGTCCACAGGGGTTAAAACAAACAAATCCAGCTGCCAACAGCTCCCCAAAAAAATTTATGGAAGCGCCTTGACTTGGATCCCACTTCTCCTCCCTGCACCACCACCCTCTTCCTGCGCCACCTCCCTCTTCTCCAACTGATCCAGAAAAATTCACGGTTGTGGCTGGAAAACACTCCCCTCGGAGCGGGTAAAACGGGGCACTACCCGCAAAATTGTCCTTATTGAGGAGCAAAATCCATCCAGCTCATTCCTGGGATTTTTTGGGATGAATGCTGGAGATTTAGGGAATTCAGCCCCGGTGTGGGATTGAAGTTTTCCAGCTCCCGGAGGGACCAGGAACACAACAGGGATGTTGTGTCCAGATGGTCCCAAAGGTGTCCCCACACTTTGGAATTCCAGGTTGGAATTACTCACAGCATTAGGCCAAGGAAATCCAGGATCAGGGAAGCAGTCGAGCAGCAGAACTTTTGGAAATTAACTTCCATGCATGGGCAGGGAATCCTGGAATCATGGAATGGGTTGGGATGGAAAGGATTTTAGGATCATTCCATTCCCACCCCATCCATGGGCAGGGACACCTCCCACTGTCCCAGGTGGATCCAACCTGACCTTGGGCACTGCCAGGGATCCAGGGGCAGCCACAGCCAATCTGGGAATTCCAGCCCAGCCCCTGCCCACCCTCCCAGCCAGGAATTCCTTGCCAAGATCCCAGCCCAATCTCCCCTTGGCCAGTGGCAGCCATTCCCTGTGTCCTGTCCCTCTGTCCCTTGTCCCCAGTCCCTCTGCAGCTCTCCTGGAGCCCCTTTAGGGATTCTGAGGATTCCCTGGATCCATTCCTTCTTCACAACCCCTATTTTCCCATTCCAACTCCCAAGAAGAGTCACAATTCCTTCCCCACAATCAAAACACTGGGAACGGGAATGTTTCTGAGCATTTCTTTGGGAATCACAGTGCTTTGGGCATTATTGCAGATAAGGCAGGCACAGGTGATCCAGAACAAATTCCAGCCAATTCCCTGCATAACCAGAAGCCACAGGGAATTCTTTCTACACCTCCCATCTGGATTTGGAGGAGACACAACCAGACCTGGAGCTGGATGTGTCTGTTCAGGGAAAAAAAATGGGATGGAGTTGGTTTTTCCAGATGCTCCAACCTGAATTTACCCCCTGGAATCCCACAGGCTCCTCTTGGCACAAAACCTGGACTGGGAGCACGGATTTCCTTCTGGAAATCCATTTTTATGGAACCGGATGCCCTGGATCCTTTTGTCCCATTGCTGCTGACCCAGGCTTGCCAGAGGAATTCTGGGAATAAAATAGGATTTCCCACTGGAAGTGTCTCTGGAGTGAATCCCAAACTTTCAAGCCCATCCATTCCAGGCATTCCACAATCCCAGGTGGCTCCAATCCTTATCCAAGCTGCCCTTGGATGTTCCAAAGAAAACCCATGGATAGATTTTGATTCCTTGTCCTTCTGGGATAGACAGTGGTGTTCCTGACAGGATGGGGGATGCGCATCCCATGTTTGGCATTCCGACATGGATCGCACATCCATTTGAGGCTCTTGGTTCCAAGATTTTTGGGTTGGGATCATGGGGAATTACACCAGGACGGGAAATCCCAGAATCCCCGCAAATCCAAGAGATATTGGATCTGAATTCCCACTGTGGATTCCAGGAGAGCACTCAGGGAATTCCAGACTCCTCTGGCACAGTTGGGTCCTGGTGGGAAAAGAGCAGGGACCAACATTCCCATAAAACCCAAATTTCCAATCCCAGCAAGGGCCAAACAGAAGTAACTTTTGTCCTTGGCTCCTCAGATCCTTTGGGATAATAAAACCTCTGGAAAATTGGAGTGAATCCTGGTTGTTTGATGGTGGCTATAAACAGGGATGGGGGTGGAAATGGCATTGGGAGGTTTTTAGGGAAAAAACGAAGGAAAATGAAGCATTTAATGATGGAAAATGAAACCTCCACCCTGGGATGTGCAAATCTGGAGCCGATTGCTGCACTCCAACTTTTGGGAAGGGGCCATGGATCAGCCAAAGCTCAGCAGCAGGGATGGGGTTATAAATCCCTATAAATCCCTATAAGTCCCAAAGCTGTGCATTTTCCGTGTAGAAAACACGGAGAAGGAGCTGCCCTGTGCATTCTGGGAGATGTTCTAATGAGAATCCTGGGATTTGATCCCCCATGGATTACATCCCCATTTAACAAAGCAATTGGGCTGTTATCCCGATTTTTTAAGCACAAGCTTAAAATCCCAGCCAGAGCAGGGCAGGAGCTGCCATCAGTGGTTTTTCATGGGAAACTGATCCCTCGGGATCACTTTTCCCAGCTCCTTGCTTGTTTGAAGCAGCCACAGCTCCAAAGAAAACATGGGATCAAGGATAAATCTCATCCTGCTGAAAGGAGGACAGGAAGATCCCAAATCAGCAAAGGTGCCGGAGCAGCCGGATATTAATGGGATTTTTCTGGTGGGAGAATGGGAGAAGATGCCTTGCAGGATGAGAATTTGAGGATTAACACCCTCACAGTACTGGAAAACCCTGGGAATCATGGAATTATGGAACCATCCATAATTAGGTGAGAAAGACCTCTGAGCTCAAGTCCAACCCTGCCAAGGTCACAAATCCCCAAGTGCCACATCCCACGGGATCATCCCGCTCCAGGGACAGGAGGAGGGAACAGCAAAAGTGGGAATGTCCCAGCATTCCCATCGGATCCATGGGAGGCTGAGCAGGTTGTGGATCACGGATTTGTTTGGAAAACAAATCCCACCCTGGGACAGGTTTTTTGCTCCATTAATGCCTGGCAGCAGCGAGTATGTGTTGGGATGTTTTCCATAAGAATATTTGGGAATACATGGGAAAATGGCTGATTTTAAAGGAATATCAGTGAGGCTCAGCCTGGAGAAAAGGAGGATCAGGGGGGACCTTATATCTCTGCACAATTCCCTGAAGATCTGGAGCCAGATGGGAGTTGGGATCTCATCCTAGGGAAAAACAGGATAAGAGGGAACGGCCTCAGGTTGTCTCAGGAGAGGCTTCAGTTGGACATCAGCAGGAATTTCCTCATGGAAAGGGTGGTCAGGCCTTGGAAGTGCCCATGGAGCTTTGGAGTCCCCATCCCTGGGGGTTTCCAAGGAATTCCCAGATACGGCACTCAGTGGGGATTGGGCACAGCTTGGAGTGGATGATCCCAAAGGTCTTTTCCAGCCTCAGGGATTCTGGGGATTCTGCAAATACTGACACTAAAAAGACCAAGAATTCCCAAAAAAGTGGCTGGGAGGCAGCGGGAGAGGATGAAATCAAAGCCCAGCTGCTCCTGAGATTCCTCTCCCAGTGGGAATGGGAGACCTGTGGGGCTGTGGAGCAGCTCCAAGGGAAAACCAGCTCCAGAATTCCATGATGGAATGCAAAGGCCTCAAAATCCAAGAGAAACTGGGATTTTGTAGAGCACCAACTCCAAATCCCAGATTTTGTACCACAGCCATTCCCATCCCCATTATTTCAGCTTTGGGAATGTGACATGTCATCCCAGGGATCCGGTTTTCCAACACATTTTCCATAGGTTTACAATACATAAATGGGATAATACAGGGAAAAAGGAAACTGAGGCTGGATCAGAGAGCGAAAAGTGCTTGGAATCTGTGGGATTTACTCAGGCTGGCAAATCCCAAGTCCTGCCCTGAGGATCCTCTGCACATTCCCAACTTCTGGATGGAAAGGTCCTTTCTCCACTCCCTCCTCAGATTTTCACTGGAATTTGGGATTTACCAACCAGAGCAGCAGGAAAACTCAAACAAAACACAGAAGGCTGGAAAACCAGGAATATTTTGGTGGAGGCTTCGGTTAGATGACACTTCCCGGGTGGAATTCCAAAGGGAACTGGAGTCTTTGGCAGCAGCTGGAGGCCTGGATGCGTTTTTCCTTCTTCACTTCCCAAATTCCTTCCCAAAATTCCCAGGCAGGCACAGGAGCACCTTCAGTTGAAAGGTTTCACCAGTTTCATAGCAGCATAGTTCTGAAAGGATGGAAAAACATGGGAATCACTGGGAAAATATGGAAATCACGGGAAAAATGAGGGAATTACTGGAAGAATAAGGGAATCCTTGGAAAAATTAGGGAATCCTTGGAAGAATAAGGAAATGATTGGAAGAATGAGGGAATCACTGGAAAAATAAGGGAGTAACTGGAAAAAAAAAAAAGGGAATCACTGGAAAAAATGAGGGAATGATCAGAAAAATAAGGGAATCATTGGAAGAACTTAACAAGAACCAGGAGTCATTCCTGGATTGTGGTTGCTATTCCCAAAAATTTTAAGAGAAATTCCCACCTCTTCAAGCCCTTGGAATAAATTTGGCCCCTCCCTCCTGCACCATCCCAGTGTCCGACTGCTGGGAAGCATTCCCAGTTTTCCTTGATTTGCGTGAGACTCCTCTCCTCTGGATCCCACTGCTCCTTCCCATCCTCTGGGATTCCCACAAATCTCATGGATTCACCATCCAATCCCCGACCTTGTATCCCTACAGCTCCTTTTTCCACGATCCCACAAAACTTGAGACATCACCTGTTCTGCCCCTTGGGAAAAGGGTCCTGGAGCATTCCCAAAGCTGTGCCAGGAATTTTCTGGAATGCAGAGCTTTCCAGCAGGAAGAGGCTCCTCCAGCCCTGCCCCATCCTCATTTATTCCAAGGACAAATCCAGCCGGCAGCTCCATGGAATTTTGTCAAAGGCGACCAAGGCAGGTAAAACTATCCCAGATTTTTCCCTCTGCATCCCAGAAAATCTTGGAGACTTGGCACACTAGTGCCAGCAACTGGTGTTGCTGAGGACATGCCAGGAATGGCCTTCCCATGGTTTTTTGGTATCTCCACCATTCCTGATATCATGGGATTGTTGAGGTTGGAAAAGAGCCCCAACCCTTGTTCATCATTATCAATGTCCTCATATGCCACATCCATTCCAGGTGTTTTTGGAATAATTCCATGGATGGGAACTCCACCACTGCTCCAGGGCTGGACACTGCTTACCATGAGGGATTTTTTTTTTAAATACTCAACCTAAAATTCCCTTGGAATAACTTAAGGCTGTTCCTTCTTGTCCTGTTGTTCCCTGGGAGCAGATCCCAAATCCCACTTGGCTCCAAACATTCAGGGAATTGTGGAGAGCCAGAAGGTCCCCCTGATCCTGCTTTTCTCTGGGATGAGTCCCTTTCCCTCAGCTTTTCCTGATGCTCCAGCCCCTTCCCAATTCCATTCCCATGCCTGGACACGCTCCAACCCCACCAGATTTTTCCCATGAGGATCCCCAACCCCAAAAAGTCCCTTTTTAACCCGTTGTGTTCCTCAGCACAGAATTTTCCATCCCCCTGAATCCAGCACCCCTCAGACCTCAGCCAATCCCTGTCCTCTCCCAGCCGCTCCATACCGGGAAGGCGTAGACAAAGATTCCCAGGAAAAGCAGCAGGATGAAGAGGAGGATGGCCAGGATCAGCACCCACTTGTAGCGGCGCCACAGGATGAACTTCAGGGTCTTGTATGGGGATGTGAACCACAGGAAGGAGGTCTCGGGACGCCTGGAGCCAAAAGAAGGAGAGGTCACCTCAGAATTTCATCCTCCTGGATCCCCAATCCCATCTGCCTTGGTGGTCCCAGACCAGCTTTGAAATCCTTCTGGATTCATTGTCTGGACCAACCTCCCAGTCCCACCTCAACTGGTGATCAAGGCCAGTTTCCCAATCCCACTGAAATTTTTACTCCTCATCCTTCTGGGGATGTCCCATCAATTTCCACTTTGGTGATCCAGATCAGACTCCCACTCCGAATGGATTCATGGTCCAGAGCAGCCTCCAATCCCACTGCTCTCAGGTCTTCCATCTTTCTGCATACATCCCGTGAATGTTCTCCTTGGTGGTCCAGACAGTCTCCCAATCGCACTGGAAAGTGTCAGCTCCTGCATCCCTCTAAGGATGTCCCACCAACATTCTCCTTAGTGATCTAGACCAACCTCCCAGTCCCAATGGATTCGTGGTCCAGATCAGTCTCCCAAATCTCTCTGGACTGGTGATCCAGACCAGCCTCCCAACCCCTTGGATTCATGGTCCAGACCAGACTCCAAAACCCCCGGGACTGTCTCAGCTCTTCCATCTTTCTGGCTACATCCCACCAATGTCCTCCTTGGTGGTCCAGACTGATCTCCCAATCCCACTGGACTGGTGCTCCAGACCAGCTTCCCAATTCCGCAGAACTTGTTCCCCAGACCTCCCTCCCACTCCCCACCAGTTCAGAGTGGATCCTACCCAGGTGCAAACTCAGTTCAGCCCAGTTCCCTGCAGCTGGAAACACAGAATTCCCATTTGGTCCTCAAGAATTACATGCCCTGCTGGCTGCTTTTCCATTTGGGATGTTCTTACTTGGGATCCTCCAGCCTGGGGTTCATGTTTGGCTCATCCCGTCCCATCCCAGCTGGACGCTCCTCGTGCTCCTGTTCTGCCACGATTTCCAAAGTCATCTCCAGTTTGCCCTGGATGGGTTAAACAAAAACTTAGTTATTATCCCCAAAAACAGAGGGAAAGGTGAGGAATGAACGTGGGATGGAAAATAGGGATTAGGGAAAGAAAATATACTTTAAACAGAACCAAACCACTCCCAACAATGACCATGGGGATCCCAGGATTCCAGAGATCCTTCACCTGTCACTGGAGATATTCCAGGAAATCCCAGATCCCACTTTTACCCAAACTTGGACAACCACAGAATCCCAGGATCATTGAAGCTGGAAAAACCTCTGGGATCAAGCTGTGATTGATCATCACTGAGTGCCACATCCAGTCTTTCCCAATCCCCTAATTCCCAATTTCCTTGGAACCAGCTCAGGGTTTGTCAGTTGAATCACTGAATTCCCTGCCTGGATTCCCTCACCTGCATAGAACAGTCACCAAAACCTGGAACAGGAGCCCAGACACCTTTAAATCTATTGCTGGGACAACTGGAATTTTTTCCCGGTGTTTAGGACACAAGATTGTTTGGAATAGTGATACAGAATCAAATTTGGTAGCACATTCCAAAAACCAGGCTGAAAATCCCACAAAACCAATCATTCCTCTGCACAGTGCCAGAAAATTTCCAGCCAACCACAGACGGTCCGGCTGGATCCATAAAGTCTCCAGTTGGAAATGGAATTTCTTGCCCTGCTTTGAATTTAATGAAGATTTCAGGGAATTCTGGAACAGTTTGGATTGGGAAGGAATTTAAAGCCTTGGACACTTCCAGGGATGGGAATTGGAGTGAAGGATCCAAGGAAAAGCATGGAGAGGCCACTTTACCGCCAGGATCTTCTGCTGGTTCTGCTCGGCCACACAGGGCCACCAGCCCTTGACAGTTTTCTGCTCAAAGAGGGACACGGAGCGGCTGGAGGACAGGGAATCATCCACAAGATCCAAGGAACACTTTTCCGCTGTCTTGGCAGGTTTGGGCATCCTGTTGAGATCCATTTGGATGGATCCTGCAGGGAAGAATATTCCAAGTGTGACATCTCAGTAGGAAAATCCTTAAAACATGGAATGTTTCCTGATCCCATGGAGTCTGAGCCACCCCAACCATCCCAATCCAAACTCCCAACTTCCACTGTCCCAGGTGGCTCCAAGCCCATCCAACCTGGCCTTGGACACTTCCAGGGATGGGGCTTCCACAGCTTCCCCGGACAACCTGTGCCGGTGATGTTTTCCCTTTTTTTTGGGATGGATCCCAAAATTCCCAACTTACCCAAATAGTCATCGAAGGAGAACTTGTCGTTGTCCCAGATCTGGAGGATCAGCTGGGGTGGGATCTTGTTTTCTGTCTTGTCCAAGCTCCAGAAGTGTTCCTAAAATCCCACCAGGAAAGAAACCACGGAAAAATTAAAGATTCATCAGGACAATTGGGCAGAGCCTGGCTCTGGAAATCTTGGAATTCCTGGGGTGTCCTACTGTGGATATGCAGGAGCACGGGCTCTGGAAAACTCTTGGATAAGGATAATCAGGGGAAAACTCAAGATGCTTCTGGAAGGTGTTGGCAACAATTTAGGCCTTAATTTAATGATTTAAATTAAAGTAATTAATTTTATTTTTAAAAATTAATTTAATTTAATTTAATACAATTTAGGAAATAGCTCCATGGGATCCCAAACAGGATCCCTAAGAAGGACAGAAATTCCCACAATTCCAATGAGGGTGACTCTCCAAGGTGAAAAGAACAACGAGCATTGAGTGCCGGCACTGCCAAACTTCATCTTCCTCTTAATTCATGGGAAAATATGGGATTGATGCCAAATCAGCACTTCCAGCAGGGAATTCCCATGGATCCCTTCCGGATCCACCATGGCTTCGATCTGCTCCCAGGTCTGTCACAGGCAGTAGGACAACCTGAGACCATCAAATGCCAGTCCCACCTTCAGGCCACCCAGAGGTCCTGAATTTATTCATGGAACATGGATATGGAAAGGAAGACTCCATGGTATCCCAGGAATTTGGTGATATCACACTGGTTGCTCCAAGCCCCAAAACATCCCTCAAACTGCTCCGGGCTCCTCTGGCACTGCTTACAGCAGAGAAGAAAATAATGGAATACTTTGGGTTGGAAAGGTCCTGAAACTCATCCCATTCCAGCTCAGGGACACCTCCCACTATCCCGTGCGGATCCCGTGCGGATCCATGTCCAACCTGGCCTTGGACACTGCCAGGGATCCAGGAGCAGCCACAGCTGCTCTGGGAATTCCAGCCCAGCCCCTGCCCACCCTCCCAGCCAGCAATTCCTTGCCCAGATCCCAGCCCAATCTCCCCTTGGCCAGTGGCAGCCATTCCCTGTGTCCTGTCCCTCTGTCCCTTGTCCCCAGTCCCTCTGCAGCTCTCCTGGAGCCCCTCCAGGCCCTGCCAGGGGCTCTGAACTCTGCCTGGAGCCTTCCCTTCTCCAGGGGAACATTTCCAAGTTATCCATGAGTTCTGCACCCCAGAATAAGGAATATCCACTGCCTGGGAAGCAGCATCCACATCACTATTTCCATGTGTGAAACCAGGAATTTTTTCCAACAGGGTTCTAACACCACTGTTGGGATGCCTGGGAGTTAGGATTAAGAATCCCAGAATCCCTGAGGTTGGAAAAGCCTTTTGGGATTAGCAAGTCCAAGCTGTGCCCAATCCCCACCTCAGCATCCAGGAATTCCTTGGACATCTCCAGGGATGGGGACTCCAAATCTCCCTGGTTACTTCCTAAGCCGGACCATACTTTCCATTTAAAAAATTCCTCTTGATGTCCAAAAAGAAATGTTGAGATGAAGGAGAAAGACAAAATCCCACCCAAAGCCCAGGGATTGTTGGGATTGTTATTCCTGGCTCCATCAAAGAGCAGGAAAATCCCAGAGGGATTCCTGACACCCCTCCAAGGGTGTCCTGGTGGCAATTCCACCTGGAAGTGTCAGAAATGACAGGATTTAATTAAAACCAGGAAACTCCAGTCTTATTCATCCGTCGCTCCATAAATTCACTCCAAGACTCAGATTCATTATTTCATCCAATATTAAATTATAAAAAAAGGAGGAAAAACGTGTCACATTCCATAGGAACACAAATATTCCAGCTGGGAGTCCGTGGGCACTCCAATCCCATTGGATTCATTTTAAGATATCCCCCTGGATGGTTCTGTTTCAATTTCTCTCTGTTCCCTGCCCGGTTTTGGGAAAACGTGCCAGGAATTTTGCATTGGAGCATTTTATGGATGCATTTGAGATATTGGATAAGCCAGAAATCCCAAAGGAAGTCCATGGAAAATTCCCACTACCCCCTCTGCTGATTGCAGTGGATTGGGATGGATGTTTATCAAGGGGGATTTTTCCCAGCTTTTCCAGCCATTCCAAATTAAAATCGCTAAAAAAGGGGAAGAGTTGATGTTGATTCTTCCCTTTCCCAGAAACTGGGGAAAGAAAAGATGCACAGGGATCCAGGAGCCATGGATCCATGGATAACAAAGCTGGGATGACCTCAGGAGGGGCTGGAAAATTCCAAGGCGGTGGAAGATCCATGTCCATGGTGAACACCACCAGCTTCTTTGGATTGTGCCTTCCAGAAGAAATCCAGGTGCAGACCTAAGCTTGTCTTGGAAAAGGGGAAAATATACGGAATTCTTGACTGGTTTGAGCTGGAAGGGACCCTCAAGACCACCTCATTTCCTGGTTGGAATATTCCCTGGAAACTTCCACGAGCTCCGTGTCCTCCAGCTGCCTCTTCTTCCCAGTGAATTCCTGGCTCAGATGTCCATCCCATCATTCCCACATTCCATGGATGGGTCCATGCTCCAGGAGCATCCCACACTCCCTTCTGGGCTGATGCAACTTACCAAGGATTCATTGGAATTTCTCTTTGCCCCATCCCATCCACAATGAGCCAAACTTGAGAAAAACCTCACACTTGGGGTCATCTCCCACCTATCCCAGCTGGACCCATGTCCCTCAAGATAATGAAGCTGAAGGAAAGATAGGATGGGATCTTGGGAAAGCTGTGAGGGTGGGGAGGAGCTGGGATGGAATTCCCAGAGAAGCTGTGGTTGTCCCATCCCTGGTAGTGTCCAAGGCCAGTTTGGACAGAGCTTGGAGCCACGTAGGATTGTGGGAAGTGTCCCTGGATGGGCTTTAAGGTCCTTCCCATTCCAAACCATTCTATGATTCCATGGAATTGCTGGCAAACCGAGCAGACTCTGGGATTCCACCTTCCCTCCTTCCCACTGCAATGTCCAAGGAAAAAGGGAACAATACCTTGGCTCTGCACCCTCTGCATCCCAATCCCTCAGAACAACATCCTGGCATTCCAGGGACAACTCAGGTGGGGCTCGATCCTTTTCAGGCAGAAATTGAATGCTTCGTCGCTTCAAATTCCCTTTTTTTTTTTTTTTAATGGAAAAACACCATAAAATATCACTTAGCCGGAGACAAAACCTCCCTGCTCTGAGCCCTGTCCAGCTGGGGACACCCAGAGCTCCGCTGGAAAGGCAGGATAAGGAACAGGGAATTGGGAAGGGGGAATTTGATGCCGAGCAAAGTTTATGGGTCCCTTTCAAGGCAGTGTGAAATTTGCTTCCATTATTAAATCGAGCTCTGAACATTCCCTATAAAAACAACTCGGAGCGCGAAATTTATATCCTGCCCTTGTCCAAACCACAGGGAAAAAAGACTGGAATTATTGTTTGGAGGTTTGTTTTCCAAGCGAGGGGAGGCTCGGGGATATTTTATGGATTTTTGTGGATAAAGTAGCAGGGAAAAAATCTGCTCTGATTCTCGGGAAAGTGTAGACAGGGCTGCATTTCTCCTGGACTGTGAATGTGCTCCAGAATACAAAGGAGGAAACCTCATTTTTGGGAAGGAAAGGAAGTCTGCTCCCAAAAAGTCATATTTCAGGTGTATCCTGCAGGAATTTGAGAGTCCCGGACATGCAGGAGACTTCCCTTGGATGTCACAGAATCCCTGAGGTTGGAAAATCCCTCCAAAGTCATGGAGTCCAACCTGGCACTGATGCCCACCTTGGCACTCAGTGCCACATCCAGGAATTCCTTGGACATCTCCAGGGACGGGGACTCCAAAGCTCCCTGGGCACTTCCAAGGCCCCTGAGGTTGGAAAATCCCTCCAAAGTCATGGAGTCCAACCTGGCACTGATGCCCACCTTGGCACTCAGTGCCACACCCAGGAATTCCTTGGACATCTCCAGGGATGGGGACTCCAAAGCTTCCTGGGCACTTCCAAGGCCTGAGCACCCTTTCCATGAGGAAATTCCTGCTAATGTCCAACCTGCCCCTCCCCTGGCACAACCTGAGGCTGTTCTTCCCTCTTATCCTGTTTTTCCCTGGGATCAGATCCCAACTCCCACCTGGCTCCAACATTCCAGGAAGTTGTGGAGAGCCTGAAGGTCCCTCTGGATCCTCTTTTTCTTCAGGATGAGCCCCTTTCCCAGCTCCCTCAGGAATTCTCCATTCCCTTCCCTGGACATGCTGCAGCCCCTCCATGTCCATAAGAATCCCAGAACCGGACCCGGCACATCCATGGAGATGCTGTTTGCTGTGACATTCCATGCAAACCCTTTCCTGCCCTAAAGAACTTCCCAGATCCCGTTTTGGCAACCAAATCCAGCTGCTGCTGGAATTGCATGGGAAGCTGAACATTCCAAAACCAATTCCATGCATTTTCCACACCACCGCACCTCTGGGATGTGGGAGCTGAGCTCTTCCCTGAGTGGATGCCCAGGAAAATGGAATCCACATCCAGGTGACCTCAGATTGTCCTGGTTGTCCCATGACCCATCCAGTAATAGGCTTAAACTGGGAATCCAAAGTTTAAACTTCCAGTTTAGGCTGGATTTTAGGGAAAATTCCTTCATGGAAAGGGTTTTCCAGCCATGCAGAGGCTGCCCAGGGAAACGATGGAATGCCCATCCCTGGAATGATTTGAAATTCCCTCTGGATGTGGCACTTGGGGACATGGCCAGTGGTGACCTTGGCAGAGCTGGTGGTCTTAGAAGGCTTTTCCATCCTAAATCATTCCATGATTTTCTCATTTTCCATCCCAGAAACAGCTTCTCTGCAAGATGCAAAAACCTGGGAATGTGCTTTTCCCACGCAGCCAATATGGTTTGAATTTTCCAGGGCTGGAAGAGAAAGATGGCACCAAAAAAAGTGGGAACAAAGATGGAAATTCAAAAGGAATGCTGAGAAAAGCATTAAAAGAGCATTTCTATGTTTTCCAAAGAGCTGTCCTAAAAATGGGGATATTTCCCTTCCATGGAAATATTTTGGAAACTTGAATTGGGAGAAATTCCCCTCTCAGAAGAAGAAAAATCTTAATAACATTAATCCAGCCAGGAAAGTTATGGAAAACCATCCTGAAATGGTTGGAAGGTTCAGAAAAGCAGGAATAAGAGTGGCACCTATGTTTTCCTGGGTTTTCCCTGAATTTCCAGGCTCCCAACCACCCCAGATCACATGAAACAAAACTACCATGGACACCCTTTTATCAAGAGCCTCCTTTTTTTTTAGGAGAGAGTATTTGCAGCCCAAGTTGGGGTGACCCATGGAGTTCCCACATACAGGAATTCCAGCTCTGGAATTCCCAGCATGGAAGGACCTGGAGCTCTCAAATCAAATCAAGAGGAGGTGCCAGGATGATCAGAGGGTTGGAGCAGCTCTGCCGTGGAGCCAGGCTGGGAGAGTTGGGATTGCTGGAATTGGAAGGGAAAAAATCCAGGGAGAGCTCAGAATCCCTGAAGGGGCTCCAGGAGAGCTGCAGAGGGACTGGGGACAAGGGACAGAGGGACAGGACACAGGGAATGGCTGCCACTGGCCAAGGGGAGATTGGGCTGGGATCTTGGCAAGGAATTGCTGGCTGGGAGGGTGGGCAGGGGCTGGGCTGGAATTCCCAGATTTGCTGTGGCTGCCCCTGGATCCCTGGCAGTGCCCAAGGCCAGGCTGGACATTGGGGCTTGGATCCACCAGGGATAGTGGAATTTGTCCCTGGATGGAACTGCGTAAGCTTTCAGCTCCATTCCCACACAAATTCTTGCATAATTCCATGATTCCTAATCCACCTGGCCATGCTCCTGGGAGCTCCAGCATGGAGCAAACAAAGGACAACCACTGGAAAACTCTTTCCCTCCCAGCCCGGTTGGGCACAGGTGGTTCTGAGCAGCTCCCAATTCCTCACAGTCACTCCCAACCTTTGATTGAAATTCCACCTTCCAGCGTCTGCCTTTCCAGCCGGGATTTTTACGGCCGCAGGAACCAAGCCGGAGTTCAAACAGCACATGGCGAGATCAAAAAATTCCCGGGGCCGGAATGCTCCACCCGGCTTTTCCTTCATTATTCCAGCCTTTACAGAGAGCTTTTACAAGGTGTTTATTTTCGGATCCAGCGCTGGAAGCCATGTGGTGGGAAAAGATTCCAGATCGGCACAGCGGGATGGATTTGCTTAAAGGGGTTTATGGAGGGGGTCTTGGCTTTTTCCAGGCAGGATAATTGGATGTAGTACACCCTGTACTTGGGATTTGTGGGATATGAAGCGTGAAATGGGGCCGGCTGGGATGCTGTCAATCATTGGAACTGCCCGGGAAGGACTTTGGAAGCTGGGAATTGTCTGGGATGGGGGATTCACTTGGCATCTTCCCAGGTGAGATGCTGGTTCCATGGAAAATAAGATGGGATGGGGATCTTGGTGGGTTTTGGGGATTACAGTGGGTTTCAGAGATGGTCCCATTGCAAGCAGGAATCTTTGGGCACCTCATATTCCATGAATACTGAGGCTCAGCAAAAACAGGGAGCAGGGATCATGGGATCACTGAGGTTGGAAAATCTGCCAGGATCATCGAGTCCAGCCTGGGACTCAACCTGGCACTCAGTGCCACATCCAGGAATTCCTTGGACATCTCCAGGGATGGGGACTCCAAACCTCTCTGGGCATTTCCAAGGCCTTATCACCCTTTCCATGAGGAAATTCCTGCTGGTGTCCCAAAAATTCAAGGGATGAAGGCTCAGGATGAGGTGAATGAATGACTTTAAGCCTCCAGGGAGGTGCCATGGGAAGCCAGGATTTTCCCTGTTGTCCACAGACCACAAAGAGCCAAAAATCACAGAATCATGGAATGGTTTGGGTTGGAAGGCACCACAAAGATGATCCAGTTCTATCCCCTGACACGGATAAGGAATCTTCCATTAGATTATTCCTCTTAATCCTTTTATTCCTTTTAATCTCCAGCTGAAGGAAATTTAAATTAATTTATGTTCTCTGTTGTTTGGTGTCCAGTTTTCCCTAATTCCCATCATTTCCATCATTAAATTTTCCCCTGCGTCACTCCATGCACTCATTCCAACCTCATTCCTGTGTCCTTCCGTCCATGTAATTCCCATGAACTGATCCAAGAAACACCAGGAGCAGCTGGAGGAACGAGGGGATCAAAATCCCATCTGAAAATCTTCATCCACTTCAACTCCCAGTCCAATTCTCTCCCTAAATCCAAAGCTTTTCCTCCAGTGGCACATCCCAACCCATGTTCCCACCAGAAATTTGGAGGCAGCTCATTCCTTTCCCCATTTTTAGCCTTTTTGGGAAGTTTTTGCAAGGTACAACACGCGTTATTCCATGCTGGAAAACAGAGGTTCCCACTAAACCATCCCCAAGGAATCACCGTCTCCAGCTTTGGAATATCCCTGTTATCCAAGAGCATTTGGACACTTGCTCCAATGGTTTTCCTGCTCCAGCCCAGATGAATCTTTCCCAGAGGGATCAGTCTCTCAAAAAAAAACCACCTCTAATTCCAACTCCAAAAAGCAGATTTTTGAACAAAATTCCCAAAATTTTGCTGTCAACACCACGGAAAGGCCAAGCTTTGTACAGCTCTGCTTGTGAAAGTCTGAAATTCCCGTTTCACCCCAGAATTCCCATGAGGATGTAGGAATTCCATCCAGGACCACTCACCTTCTTGGCCACGTGGCACATCTGCTCTGCTGGGAGATAATCAAAGGGAAAGACAAATCTCCAGTTGAAATTCCCTTCTCCTCCCATGGATCTGTAGTGGACATCCGTCTTTTGCTTGTTCTCCTCGTGTCCCACCAGCCACCTGCCAGAGACAAACAGAGCCCATGGAAAATCAGGATCGTGGCAAGGATTTGGGATCTCACTCAAAGTCACAATGTCCATGAGTGGGAAATGGAACATTCCTGATCCCAGTGGCCGCTGGAGGTGGGAAAAACCTGGAGATGGGAGAGGGAAGGCTGGGAGATGAATCAGTGCTGGAGCTAGCAACTCCAGAATTATGGAATCCTAGAATGGTTTGGGATGGAAAGGATTTTAGGATCATTCCATTCAGACCCCATCCATCAGCAGGGACACCTCCCGCTGCCCCAGGTGGATCCAAGCCCCAATGTCCAACCCAGGCCTGGGACACTGCCAGGGATCCAGGGACAGCCACAGCCAATCTGGGAATTCCAGCCCAGCCCCTGCCCACCCTCCCAGACAGCAATTCCTTGCCAAGATCCCAGCCCAATCTCCCCTTGGCCAGTGGCAGCCATTCCCTGTGTCCTGTCCCTCTGTCCCTTGTCCCCAGCCCCTCTGCAGCTCTCTTGGAGCCCCTTTAGGGACTCTGAGCATTCCCTGGATTTTTCCCTTTTCCAGGTGAACATTCCCAGCTCTGCCAGCCTGAACATTCCTTGGGAATCCCTTTCCACTGCTTGACAGCTTTTCCATGAATAATTTTTCCCTAATACCCAGTCTAGGATAGGCAGGTTCCAGCCCCTGTTCCAGAGGCAGCAATGGATGGAAGGAATGTTCCCCATGGGATTCTCAATCCATAGGCAGATTCCCAGGCACCAAGAGGATCATTTCACCCATTCCCAACTAGGTTTTTCAGGATGACTTTCCTTTGGACTGGAAGATGTAGAAGCTGAGCAAGGATTTACTCATTTCCAGCCTTTCAGGATCCTCTTGGATGCTAAAAATTGGGAAAGGGATCTCAGCAACCCCTAGATGCTCCCACTTTTCCAGCAGCTCAACTTTTTAGGAGCCCCAAAAGACACAGAACAGCTCAACCAGAGCTGATAACAACAGACTTGATGGGAATACCAGGAAAGCCACACAGCATTCTGGATTTACAGGGGGAAAATCGGGATTGTAAACCAGGGATTTACAGTCTGTTCCCAAATCCCGCCTCTTCCTGCCTATAAATCCCAAAAAGGCACAAAAAAAGGAACTCCCTTGGCTGGGATTACACTGTTAGACACAAGATAAATCCTAAATGGGGATGGGATGGGATGGGATGGGATGGGATGGGATGGGAAGGGAAGGGATGGGAAGGGAAGGGATGGAGCCGGCCCGGCCCGGCCCCGCCCCGCGAAGGGAAGGGAAGGGAAGGGAAGGGAAAGGGTCTGTTTCCAGGAGTAAAGAGAATTCCAAAGAAAGCAGCCATGCAAATAATCCTATCTGTGAGCATGGGAAAAGTCTGGGAAAGAAGCTGGGAATGAGCAGACAACAAGCTCCTCTCCCCAAGGCCAGGCGGTTCCCACATCTTATCCCACTGTGGGAACATCCAAGTAGTCCAAGGAGAAACACTCCATGGGATCATCCCAGAGATCTGAAGAAAAAGATTGTAACCTCAGCAGAGACATGTCTTCCAAAAACCTGGATCCAGAGATGGAGAGGTGTGGATCCACAGCTGGAGAGGTGTGGATCCATAGTCAAATAGGTGTGGATCCATGATTGGAGAGGTGTGGATCCACAGTTGGAAAGGGGTGGATCCACGACTGGAGAGGTAGGGATCCATACTTGAAGATGTGAATCCACAGTTGGAAATTCATGGATCCATGACTGGAGAGCCATGGTGGTTCCTCCATCCCAGGAGGACCCAAGTCCATCCCAGCAATACCAACCCAAGGACCACCTTAACTCCTTCCCTGCTGCTCCTGCACCTCCAGCCCCCGGAATGTGGGAGGCTCTGGAGCAGGACACTCACCCTTTGACATAGATGTCACTCATCTTCTCCCCGGTGATGCTGAGGTCATCCAGGATCACGTCTTTGGTGTTCCAGATGATGCAGCGCAGGTAGAACCTGGAAAATCCCGGGAATAAAACCATGAGAAGGTGGAAAACTCATCCACCTGGAAGTCTGGTTGTCCCACTGACAGATTTCCCTATGGGAGCCGTTTCCTTGGAGATGATTCCACACCCGTCCCTCATCCAGCTGGGTGAATCCATCCCCACCTGAGGCTTCCAAGCATTCCCAACTCCTTTCCCAAGGATAAGATGAGGAAGAAATGAGAAGTTACCTCTTGGCTTTACGTGGAGTGACGTTGAAAGGGGGGCCGGGATGTCCCAGGGATTTGGGAAACAGATCCACCCACATCTGGAGCTTTCCCTGCATGGAAAAACAGAGCCCTGAAACCTTGAGGAATTCCATACTGGAACACCTGAACCTCCCCAGGGAGATCTGGGACCCTTGGGTGGGAAGGGAGGATTCCTCCATGGAAAAGTGGCATTAAAGGTTATTTTTAAATTATTTGAGGGATAGTTGGGAATGTGTTGATGGATGTAAATCTTGAGGAGTGGTTGAGGGAGGTGGGAAAGGGGCTGAGCCTGGAAAAAACAGGGATCAGGGGCAAAACCTTCTGGCTCTCCACAACTTCCTGGAATGTTGGAACCAGGTGGGAGTTGGGATCTGATCCCAGGGAAAAAACAGGATAAGAGGGAATGGTCTCAGGTTGTGCCAGAGGAGGCTCAGGCTGGACATCAGCAGGAATTTCCTCATGGAAAGGGTGCTCAGGCCTTGGAAGTGCCCAGGGAGCTTTGGAATCCCCATCCCTAGAGGTGTCCAAAAAATTCCTGGATGTGGCACTCGGTGCCAAGGTGGGCATCAAGCACAGCTTGGGCTCGATGACCTTGGAGGAATATTTTAACCTCAGTGATCCCCGGATTCTGGGAGAAGAATTCTGAGTAGGACTTTCAGACCAAAAATTAAAATTAAATTAAATTAAATTAAATTAAATTTAATTTAAAAGTGAGAGCATGTGCTGAAGAGAACAACCACCTCCCCTCCCTCGGAACATCCCATATCCCAGGCAGACATTCCCAGCAGGATTCTCCCCCTGGATATCTCTGGACCAGATGTTACTCCTGGGCTCATCCTGGCCACGTTCCATAACCCACCTGCTCAATGTCCGGCTGGAGGGGGCTGTAAAGGCGCCGGGTCTCCACGTGCTCCGGAACCAATCCCTGCTTCCGGAGGGCAGCCAGGGCAAGCCGCTCCTCCACCGGCCCCAGGTGCGGATTCGGGGGTTTTCCATCTTCTGCCACCGGGAAAAGAGCAGAGTGAATCCCACAGCGATGGATTTTGGCCAGGAACAGCTGGAGCAGCACAGCCTCCATTCCCAAATCCATCACCACAAACCCTTGGTGATGGCACAGGGATACCATTCCCAGTGGGAAAACCCATGGAGACCCTTGTGCAACCACGCCACAAATCACAGCAAGGGAAACATGGCTAGGATCCAGTTGGATCCCGTGGAAAGGAGAATCCAATGAATCCAGCTCTCCTAAAGTCCCAGAAACCAGGATTCCCATCAATCCTCTGCCAATGTTCCCATTCCCTACAGTTTAAAGCCATCCAGGATCTTCAGCTGGGCAGACAGGAAGGAGCTCCCAGTGGGATCCCGTTTCTTCCCTGTGGTATTTGGGGTAAAAGACAGGAATGGGAGGAGGAGGAAGGACATGGAAACACCACCAGCACAGGCCGGGAGTTGTTCAAAGTTCCTACTCCAGTCCAAATCCCTGCTCCAGTCCCACCAGGATATTTGTGGTCCTCCATCCAAGGAAGACCTGGAATTATCTCCTCCGCCTGACCTACTCCACACCAACCCCTGATCCTGCCACAGATGGGCCAAGATTCCTCAATAATGGACATTCCTGCCTTCTCTTCCTTGTCAGGATCCATCCATCCATCCATCCATCCACCCATCCATCCATCCATCCATCCATCCATCCCAGTACAGCCAATGGCCAACTCCTGCCTCACCATCCCATTCCTGGGATGGGACATGATGCCCTGTCCTTGGATATCAGGCAAGTGGTGAAGTCCCAACTCCTGGAGATGTCCAAGGAACAACCAGACATGACACTTGGACAAGGTTGGATTTGATCTTGGAGGTCTTTTCCAACCTGAATTCTGAGATTCCAAGATCTACAAGGTCTTTTCCAACCCAAAAGATTCCCTGATTCACTGACTCTCACCCAAACAATCCCAAAATCCCAGGCTGGGTTGGTGGATTTCACCACACTCTGGTCATGCACCTTCCAGGACAATTGAAAGTCAACAAGCTCCATAAATATTCTTCCATAAATATTCCATAAATATCATTCCAACTCCACCAAATCCCGGTGAGATATCCCAGCTCCTTCCTTGGCATGGACACACTTAACTCCAGCCACCTGGGCTAATTCCCAACCATTTCCCAAACCCTGGAATTCCAGCATGTGCACACACGTGCGGCTTTATGCGCCGAGAAAAGATCGAGCCCCTCTCAGAGAAAAACAAAATCTGGGAGTTATGGAATAACGGGCTGGGGGGAGGGGCTTGTAAAATCCCAGCTCTCGTGTTTAATGGCTCCAGTTTATTCCCAGTCCGGCTCCAGAGCTCACAGCTGGATTCCAGATCTGCCCCGGGTCAAGCCTCGGGCTTTGTTCTGCTGTTTGAACTCGCTGCCGTTAAAGCCAGAGAAGGTGACAGCAGGCACTGCCATGCGGGGGGGACACATTTTAACACCTTCTCAGCTCTCCTGGGAAAACTTTTCCATAAGGATTCCTTGCTGGCCTTCTCCTCAGGGGAAAACCTGAATTCCTGAAGGGATTTGTGCTTTGTTTTCCAAGAGCGCAGAGAGGGATCAGCCCTGGGCTGTGCCTTGTTTTGTGTCTCTGGTGACATCCCTGGTGTGGTGGCCTTAAATCCAATCAAAATTTATGTGGGATATTGGGAATTCTTGGCTCTGAGGGTGGACAGACCCTGGAAGAGAATTCTCAGAGAAGCTGTGGCTGTGCCTGGATTCCTGAAATTATCCAAGGACAGGTGGATCCACTTGGGATAGGGGGAAGTGTCCCTGCCCAAGGAGAGGGTGGAATGAGATAATCTTTATGGTCCCAACCTAAACATTCCAAAATTCCAAACTGCAGCTCCTGGGTCAGGCCCAGTGGGATTTCACCTCCTCCTGGGACTAAAACCTTCTTTTTGTGCCTTAAAGAAGCATTTTCCCAAAAAAACCCTCCTGCCCCTGGAATGTTGGGTCAGAGGGAGGTGCCAAGGGCAAACAACAAACTCCTCCCCAAAAGTCTGGGACTTTTCTCTTCTTTGTAGAATTGGGTTTGTTCCCTGGTTTCCCCAAATCCCGAAAGAATTCCCAGGTCTGTGTATGGGATATTGTCTCCCTCTAGTGACCATTCCTGATTCCAATGGAAGGGATGCTCTTCTGGCTCTGGCAGAACTTGGACTATCAGTTTGGAGCTTCTCACTCCCAATCCAGGGGCGCTGAGTTTGGTCCAACTCAAGATCAATGCTCCTGGATTAAAGATCTGGGTTCAATCCCAGGATTTGGGGCACGGCCAAGCTTGGGAATGGTTCAGAGCCAACATGCCAGAGGGGAGGAGGATGGGGGCAATGCCATCTCTCAAACCTGCTGATGTCTCCATGACATCCAGCTCCATCCCTTTCTCTGGAGCAATGAAATTCTGCAATCCCAAAGCATCCCGGACATCTTACCCAGCTCGGAGAGGAGGTATTCCTGATCCCGGAAGATGATCCGGTCGGATTTGTAGGTGGGAGCTTTGTAGTTGTGCTGCAGGGAGAAGAGGTGGAGCAGCTGGGAAGGGCGGAGTTGGTCTCGCCACTGGTTCGGGCCGGAGCTGAAACCAAACAGAATCATGGAATCATGGAATGGGTTGGGATGGAAAGACTTTAAAATTCATCCAGTGCCATGGGCTGGGATATCTCCCACTATTCCACGTGGTCCAAGCCCCAGTATCCAACCTGGCCTTGGACACTGCCAGAGATCCAGGGGCAGCCACAGCAAATCTGGGAATTCCAGCCCAATCCCAGCCAGCAGTTCCTTGCCAAGATCCCAGCCCAACCTTCCCTTTCCCAGTGGGAGCCATTCCCTGTGTCCTGTCCCTGCAGGCCTTGTCCCAGTCCCTGCAGCTCTCCTGGAGACCCTTCAGGCCCTGCAAGGGGCTCAAAGGTCATCCCAGATCCTTCTCTTCTCCAGACCAGACATTCCCAGCTCCCCCAGAGCAGAAGGGCTCCAGAATCCTGGAATGGGCTGGGCTGGAAGAAACTATAAAACCCATCTCATTCCACCCCTTCCATATTCAGGGACACCTCCCACTCTCCCAGGTGGATCCAAGCCCCAGTGTCCAACCTGGCCTGGGACACTGCCAGGGATCCAGGGGCAGCCACAGCTGCCCTGGGAATTCCAGCCCAGCCCCTGCCCACCCTCCCAGCCAGCAATTCCTTGCCAAGATCCCAGCCCAATCTTGTGTTCCTGGGATGGGACAGCCACAGCCTCTCTGGGGGTGTCCTCAGCACGAGGTCACCAGGAGCCACCAGGCACGGAATGGGATCTCCCTGGAGGAGAACCAGGATTCTGGGAAGCGCATCTTCAGCCAGGTCCCTCAGGACAACCGTGCTGTGATCCCGTGGCCACCTCAGCATCCCAATCCCAGGATTCCTGGACATCCTAAGCCCACAGAGGAACCCACATGCAGTAGGTCTGGGGGAGGCCGCAGCGAGCTCCGTATTTGGAGAGGAAGCGATTCTCCAGGTCGATGACGGTCTCGCCGATCTTCTCATCCTTGGACAGTAGGTCGTAGTCATAGAGGGTGACCTTGAGGTCCTTCTCCAGGGGCAGCGTGCAGCTCAGCTCAAACATCCTGGAAACGGGGAGACGGAAATGCTTGGGAAAAGAGGATGGTGCTGCTGGAATTCCATGGGAATTGACCTACTCTCCATCCTACCCCACCAGTGATGGGATGGATCAGAGTTCCTGAGCTTCTGTGTCACCTCGATCCAGTAAAGCCAGGGCTGTGTTGTGCTGGCTTTGTTTACCAAGGAATCATGGAATGGTTTGGATCAGGAGACACCTTAATGACCTCATTCCACACCTTCCCTGATCCCAGGTGGATCCAAGCCCCAACATCCAACCTGGCCTTGGATACTGCCAGGGATCCAGGGACAGCCACAGCAAATCTGGGAATTCCAGCCCAGTCCCTCCCCATCCTCCCAGCCAGGAATTCCTTCCCAAAATCCCATTTAAATGCATCTCTCTCTCCCTCTTGCTTTGTTGGGGAGGTGTCCCAGCATTGGTGGCCTGGACTGGTGGGAGCAGCCTTGGAAAATCAGATGGACTTTATGGGAAGCAGGATTTGATCCCTGTTTGTGCCTTGAGTCCTGGATTTTGGAAGCCTGGAGCTCATCCCAAGGGGCAGCTCCAATCTCTGGGACAGGGCCCAGGGAATGGCTGGAGCTGTGGCAGGGGAGGTTTAGGTTGGACATTGGGAAAAGGTTCCTCATCCAGAGGGTGCTGGGAACAGCTCCCCAGGAATGGCCACATTCCCAAGGCTGCCAGAGCTCCAGGAGCATTTGGACAATGTTCCCATGGACAGGGTGGGATTGCTGGGATTGTCCTGGGAAGGAGTCGAATCGATGATCCTTACGGGTCTTGTCCAACCCAGGCTATTCCATGATTCTCTGATTTTCTGGGAGAACAAAGCCCCATGGAGTTGAGCTTTCCTCAGTTTCTCTGCTCCTTTTCCAGCCTTGCCAAACAGCTTTCCCAGAATAAACCATTATCCTTGGAATTTTATCCCATTTCTGAGGGAAACAACTCAATTATATCCATGGATAATCCTTTTCCAGAACATGTGGAGGTGCCCCATTCCTGTCCATTCCTCACGTTTTTCCTTCAGACATTGGATCAAAATTCCTGGATGAGGAAAAATTCCCCAAACTCTTTCCCAACAATGGGATGATCCAGATTCCTTCACTAAGGAATGTCAGCTTGCCAGTCCACAAGTCAGAAATCCCAGGGATTGATGAATGAGAGACAAGGGAATCATGGAACAGATTGGGATGGGAGAAACCTTAAAATTCACTCAATTCCCAATCCCTGATGTGGGCAGGGAACACTTCCCACTACCCCAGGTTTCTCCAGCCTGGAACTGGGTGTTGGGATGGAAGTTCTGGTTGGCCCAGCACAATTCCCTCCACAGGACACCCAAAAAATTCCATGGATCCCGAATGGAATCCATACTTACTTCCCAAAGACAGGCTCCAGAGTGCAGGGAAGGTAATTTTCCTGGTCATTTATGGATTTCTTTCCCACAGAAATCTTCACGTAGGGATCACACTGGAGGTGAGCACAGAAGGAAACACAAAAATCCCATGGGATTCCAGTCCCACCCTTTTCCGTAGGTTGTTCCAAAATCCCACCCCTCTCCCAAATAAAATTATTCTGGGAATTCGGCATCAATTTGGAAACTGGGGGATTTAATTCAAATTGGGTTTTTTGCCAGGAGAAGGAAAAAAATTCAAGGAAAAGATCCAATTCCACCTAAAAGATTTTACCTGGATCTACAGGGATCCATCATCCCAGCCACATCCAGGAATTCCCTGGAAAAAAACACCCAGACCAAGTTTTCTCATCACTTCTCCCAGATTTCCCTTTTCCTGCTGATTTGTTTTTTTAAGGAATGGAAGGGAAACAGCGCTCAGGGAATGAAATGAGCACCCAGGTATTCCTTGGGCTGGGATGAGCCTCCATAAAATTCCCATCCCAGGGGAAATTTGGGATCAAATTTGGGTTGGTTTGGGGTTTTAAATGGAAAAATTACTAATGAGGGATTTTTTTAGGAATTAACACTTCCAAATCAATTTTAAAAAATGGGAAAATTAAAAAGTGGTTAGAATTTCTGCATCTATTTGTCCATATATTCCATACATATTTCCCATTTTTCATATATTTGTCCATGTATTTTCATACCTATTCATTATTTTTCCATAAATTTTCCATGTGTATTTAGTATTTTCCCATCTATCTTTCCTAGATATTGCCTCATATATTTCCCACAGTATTACTTAAAATTTCCCCTCTTTTCCAGTGGAACCAAGATAATTAAAAAGGATTTTTCCCTTCCCTGAGTTTTGGGGCATTTTAGATCTACACAATTCCCATTTTCACAGAATTTCCCTTCCAGAGTAGCAAACCTTTGCAAGAAAGAATTTTGGGAAAAATGGGATTTTATTCTCTTTAGTACCAAAACACAAAAAACAATCCCAAAATAAAGCCAAACCCAAAACTCATGGAAATAATCCTGAAAAATCCCAGCGGACAAAGGAAGAGTTCCCTCCCAAAATTCACAGATATTCCAAGGGGGACAGAAAACAGGAAAAAATTCCTAAATTTTAGGGCAAATTTGTAAATTCTGACCAATTTTGACCCAATTTTGACCAATAAGGGCTGAGCTGTTCTAAGAATCCACTACAAGAGCCACCCCCGACTTTTCCCACCAGGATACCTTTCCATTGGAATCTTTGGGCTGGAGGTCGAAGGCCCGGATAATGTAAACCCGGACCAGACATTCCTGGAGTCCCCTGGCCGGGAGCTGCTGGAATTGCCGGGGAGGCACCGGAACACACGGATCGTCAGGAAGAGGGTAAATCCTGAAGGAACCCTGGGAAGGACACGGGAATTCAGAGAAGAACACGTGGAGATGGGAGCAGGCTTGGAATGACCGGAATGAATGGTGGAATTATGGAATGGTCTGGGTGGGAAGGGAGCTGAAAGCTCATCCCATTCCATGGGCAGGGACACCTTCCCTGATCCCAATGAATCCAAGTCCATCCCAACCTGGCCTTGGACACTGCCAGGGATCCAGGGGCAGCCACAGCAAATGTGGGAATTCCAGCCCAGCCCCTGCCCACCCTCCCAGCCAGCAATTCCTTGCCAAGATCCCAGCCCAATCTCCCCTTGGCCAGTGGCAGCCATTCCCTGTGTCCTGTCCCTCTGTCCCTTGTCCCCATTCCCTCTGCAGCTCTCCTGGAGCCTCTCCAGGCCCTGCCAGGGGCTCAAAGTTCATCCCAGATCCTTCTTTTTTCCAAGCTGGACATTCCCAGCTCTCCCAGCCTGGCTCCAAAGCAGAGAAGCTCCAGAATCCTGGAATGGGTTGGCCTGGAAGGACCTTAAATCCCATCCCATTCCCGTCCTTTCCATAGGCAGGGACACCTCCCACTATCCCAGGTTGCTCCAAGCCCCTTCCAAGCAGACTTGGCCACTTCCAAGGATGAGGATTCTACAGTTCCCACAATTCCTGGATGCACTGAACAATTTGGGCTGAAAAGGACTTTAATAATCCCACAATTCCCACCCCTATGGGCACAATCCATGGGGAGAGGGCCCATCCCACCTTGAATTCCCCCACCACCGAGGGGTCGTCACTGGAATCCTGGGATCTCCCCCGGAACAGTTTGAAGGTGTGGCAGAAGTCGGAGAGATGCTCAAATTCCTCAACGTTTTCCAGCTCTGTCTCATAGACCTGAGGGGGAAAAGATGGATCATGGAAAAAAATTCCAAGCAAATTCCTCAATCCTGGGAAAATTCATCCCATGAGGAGGAATTTCTGGGAATTTTCACCCTTATTTCCCTCTGGGGCAGTGAGAAGAGGAGAATTCGGGAATCCCACAAAAAATTCCAGCCCATCCCAAAGACCCAGACAAAGCCAAGGTCTCCTGGTGGGTTTTTCATGGGTAAAGATTTTCCTGCTGGGAATATTTTCCTTAAAACCAAGGAAAATCTTCCCTATTTGGGACTTTGCGTTAAATTTAACATTTCTTGTGCCTCAATCTCACTCTTCCCTGAAAAATCCCTGATTTTCCTCATTCCCAAACCCCTCCCAGGGTGGCAGTTTCCCACCCCTTTCGCCACTTCCCAAGGGAAAATTTCTGGAAGTTTCCCCAAAGGCTTTTCCAAAGGAAACAGAATTTTCCAGATCTGGGGAAAATGTTTTGGTTTTTTTTTGAACCTGAATGGAAAAAAAGCCAAAAATCCCAAGGAAACTGTGGACAGTGGAATTCCAAGCATCCACACCTGACAGAAGTCACTCACCTTCAAGGTGTCAAATCCCTTTTCCAAGTAATATCCACATTTTTCCCTCTCTCCTGTGGAAGCGTAAAATTTGCTCCACCAGTCGATGAATTCCTCCTCCTGCAGCCAGAGATCCCAAAGTTACTCATTTTCCACAAAAAATAAATCCCCAGAAAACAGCAGCAGCTCCCAGATTTGGGAAGTGAACCCTGCATCAACCCCATCCCTGATTTCCAGCTTTTTTTGGGATGGTCTCAGCCCAAATCCGGGCGTTTCAGCCACTGTGGATATTCACAAGAGGATTATTCCTCATGGGAAGATGACCTAGAGCTCCAAGAAAAATATTACAAGAATTTGGAGAATTTTTTGGGAATTTTTTGCCACTTGAAGGGTAGTTTTTCCAGGATTTCCATGCAGGGAATGAACCAATTTAACTCCAGTGTTAACAGCCTGAAATGCCCCAATTTTAGGCTTTCCCTGGAAATTTTTGGGATTTGGGAGACAGGGATTAACTTCCTGGTTGTATCTCAGCACCTTCCAACATCCCCATCCCAATAAAACCTGTGGAAAAATGAATAAATCCATACAATTCCCATCTTTCCATTACAATCCAATGGTGTTCAGATCTCTGGAATGACACAATCCTCAGACTAAAAAAACTGGGAAAATCCCACAAAACCTCAGCTCTCACCAACTCCCATTGCCTCATTCCCAGTGCAAACCATTCCAGCTCCAAGGATGCTATTCCAGGAGGAAAAATGGACCATGCTGGTTCAATATTCCATGGATTTTATAGGAATCCTGTTTTTGAGATTGCTTTGCTGGCAATCCATGAAAAAATTCCTGGAAAATCCTGGTGTCTCCTTTTAGGAGGCTGCAGAATTCCAGCTCGGTGACCTCATGGAAGATTCCAAATGGAGTTTTATTGGATTTCTATTTGAAGCCAACAGCACAGGATTTAATGGATAGATATTGGATTTAACTGGAATGTTCCAGAAATTCACTCTGAGGCTTCTGCCACCTCCTTTTTTGGAGGCGGAGGGAAATCCTAATTTTCCTTTCATCACTTCCCATTTTATTGTTTCAAGGGCTCCATTTGGACATTGTGACATTCCACAGGTATTGGGATACAAGAAAATGCTCGGATTCATCCCAGGACTTACCCACAGGATCTTCTGCAGCCCCAAGGGAAAGAGCTGGATTAGAGATTTTGGTGGATTTTGACCGATATTCCAATGAAAAACAGGGAAAACATAAAAAAGGAGGGAAAGGGAGCAGCTAGAATATTAATGATGATGGATATGATTCCATTTGGGAATGGGAAAGCCATGGAAAGCAATGGATCGGCAAAGGATGGATTGAGGAATTTCATTTATCCGGGGGAAGGATAAAATTCCCTCCAGGTATCCCAAATCACCTCCAGGGGTTTGTCCACGACACAGACAATCTCTGGGATTGGGTCTGTGCTCCCTTTCCAGCTTTTTCATGGATCCCACCGGGCACAACCCCCACATGAGAATCCCTTGTGGATAAATTTAACCTCAAATTTCCTGGAAAAGGAGCTTATTCCCACCTGGAAAGCTGTAGCCATGATTATCCAGAGGTTTCCTGTCTCCCTAACCCCATTCCATCCCTCTTACCTCTCACCACCCTGGAACTCCAAACTTTTTCCCAAGAGGGACCTGTCATTTGGATATCCTGGGAATAAGCAGATCATTTCACCCAATCCCATCATCCCAGGAGCTGCAGCAGCTCCAGGAACAAAGCACGGCTGGAGGAAGGAGAGTTTCTCCTATATGGGAAAAATTCCTGGATGGAAGGGTGGGGAGGGGCTGGGCTGGAATTCCCAGATTTGCTGTGGCTGCCCCTGGATCTCTGGCAGTGCCCCAGGCCAGGTTGGACACTGGGGCTTGGATCCACCTGGGATAGTGGGAAGTGTCCCTGCCCATGGAATGGGATGAGATTTCAGATCCCATCCAAGCCAAACCATTCCATGATCCCACAAACCCCAGCTGTGGAAATCCCGGAGTTTTCTCTGGCAATACTTTCCCCTCTCCCAGTGGCAGTGCCATGGGCTGGCTCCCAGCTGGGAATATCAAAACCATCAGGAACATTCCGGGGCGGGGAGCACTGGGATGGGAACCATTCCCAGGAGAAGCCATCCAACACCCAGAGCTCTTCCAAGGAGTAGTAACCGGAGAAGCCGTGAAATATGGGCTTGGATTTGGAAGGAGCAAACACAGCAAACAACCAATTATCCCAAATAGTTTACAGACATGGATTGGCTGGAATTGGCTCCACTCGGCTCTGTTAACGTGTGCTGGGATGGGGGATTTGTTTCCCAGATTTGCTGTGGCTGCCCCTGGATCTCTGGCAGTGCCCCAGGCCAGGTTGGACACTGGGGCTTGGATCCACCTGGGATTGTGGGAAGTGTCCCTGCCCATGGAATGGGATGAGCTTTCAGATCCCATCCAAGCCAAACCATTCCATGATCCCACAAACCCCGGCTGTGGAAATCCCGGAGTTTTCTCTGGCAATACTTTCCCCTCTCCCAGTGGCAGTGCCATGGGCTGGCTCCCAGCTGGGAATATCAAAACCATCAGGAACATTCCGGGGCGGGGAGCACTGGGATGGGAACCATTCCCAGGAGAAGCCATCCAACACCCAGAGCTCTTCCAAGGAGTAGTAACCGGAGAAGCCGTGAAATATGGGCTTGGATTTGGAAGGAGCAAACACAGCAAACAACCAATTATCCCAAATAGTTTACAGACATGGATTGGCTGGAATTGGTTCCACTCGGCTCTGTTAACGTGTGCTGGGATGGGGGATTTGGAAAGTAGCATGAGCTGGAGTAACAGCAGAGTAACGGCAGAGTAACCACGTTGTAGGGCTCCTCAGCAGGGAATGCAAGAGGTGTCTGAGACTCCCTCCTGAGTTCCTCTCCTCCAGGAGGTGCCCAGGAATCATGGAATTATAGAATGGGAAGGGACCTGAAAGCTCATCCCATTCCATGGACAGGGACACCTCCCAGATGGATCCAAGCCCCAGTGTCCAACCTGGAGCAGATGGGCTCCAGAATCCAGGAATGCTTTGGGTTGGAAGAGACCCTAAATCCCATCCCATTCCTACCCCACCCAAGGGCAGGGACACCTCCCACTATCTCAGGTGCCTCCAAGCCCCAGTGTCCAACCTGGCCTTGGACACTTCCAGGGATCTGGGGGCAGCCCCAGCTTCTCTGGGAACTCCATCCCACCCCCACCCCACCCTCAGAGGGCAGAATTCCATCCCAAGATCCCACCCATCCCTGCCCTCTGGCAGTTTAAACTTTTCCCCCTCCTCATTAACGCCCCAGCCAGAGGCAGATCCCGGTGAAATCCAGGACCTCCCTCACACGCTCTGCACGGAGCTGGGTTTTTTTGGCTGGAAAAGCTTTTTTCCAAGATTTCCCCAGCTGCAGCCCCTGGGCCTCATTCCCAGCTCCTGCTTTTGTGCAAAGCTCCCAAGTCATAAAGGAGAAGGAGCTGGGAAGGAAGATGGGAACTCAGTTTTCCAAACCAGGATGGTTTTCCCAACGAAACATTCCTATCTTTCTGCAAACTGGGGTTTATCCCATTGACACCCATTCCTGGAGGATCCTGGAAGAACCAGGACAATGGGATGGTTTATTCCGATCTAATATTCCCATCATTTGATTTTAAATTAATGCTTTACCGTTTTTTCCTCTTTTTTCTTTTTTTCCCCTGGATTTTCTTTATCCTAAACAAAAACCATATCCATGGAAATTAAAAATGTGGATGGACAGCAGAATGAAGGGTTATTTCAGGAATTTTTGTTTCCATAGTTGGGATCCCAGCACTGCCACCTCTCTGGACTGGAGAAATCCATCCATTGGACAATATTTGGATCCCTGGAAGTGTCCAAGGCCACATTGGAATGGGCTGGGATCCACCTGGGACAGTGGGAGGTGTCCCTGCCCATGGAAATTGTGGAATAGGATAAGATTTAAGGTCCTTCCAACCCAAACCATTTCATGATTCCGTGGGGAATCTGATCAGGATGAATTTGGGATGAAGGGAATTGCTTTTCTGGAGCATTATCCCTGAGAAGGCAAAGCAGCTCCACTGCCCTCCTTATAAAACCCAGGAAAATCCCAACATCTGCTTTTCTCATGGAAAAGACACAAAGGGAACAGGAAAAGGGAAGGGATCCTCAAATCCCATCCCATTCCCCCCTTTCCATGGGCAGGGCCCCCTCCCGCTGCCCCAGGTGGATCCAACCTGGCCTTGGGCACTGCCAGGGATCCAGGGGCAGCCACAGCAAATCTGGGAATTCCAGCCCAGCCCCTGCCCACCCTCCCAGCCAGCAATTCCTTGCCCAGATCCCAGCCCAATCTCCCCTTGGCCAGTGGCAGCCATTCCCCAAGCTGGACATTCCCAGCTCTCCCAGCCTCTCCCATGGCAGAGCTGCTCCATCCCTCTGATCATCCTGGTTCTCTGGATCACTCCCACATTTCCACGTCTATTCTGTGCTGGGATCCCTGAGCTGGGCACAGAATTCCTTCAAAACCCCCCCTATTTCCTTTCGAATTAATGGAAAACCCAAGGACACAGGGGCAGCCAGCTGGAATTTCCACTTTCCAAAGCAGCAAGCGGATCATTACCAGAAGGAAAATGCCTCCTTCCATCTTTATCCGCGTATCCTCATGGACTCAGGTTATTAATTAAGCGATTAATTAATTAAGCAATTAATTAGCAATTAGAAAGGAAGCAATACCTACATGAGGCGGGGCCCGGGAATCCGGGATGTTAATTAGTGCTGAGCTCGTCAAACCCTCGGGAAGCTACAAATTAAAATGATCTGTTATCCAAGGAATTCCGGGAACCAGGATGAACACGCAGCAGCGAAAGCAACAATTAAAGGGATTAATCCAAACTAATATTCCCAACTCTGGGGTTTACTACGATGAGGCAAATTTGGGATGAGTGCAGGGTTTGTTTTTAAGGATGTTTGGCAAACAGCTGGATTGAGGTAGAGGAAAAATGGGATATTAAAGGGGAAAACTATGGAAAAGCTGTTAGTAATTCCCAGTGGAGGAGAGACTTTTCCCTGGATACCGTGGGCTGCAAACTCAAGGAGTTATCCCAGAATCCAGGGAAGTATCTGAGCATGGGGGTTTAGAATGGGATTGGGAATGCTCAGGATCAAAGCTCAGGTCCAAGCCCAGCTCATCCCGGGCAAACCAAAACCCAGGATCCCTTCCATGGGCAGGAAGTGGCAGCTCTGCTCCAGGATTCCAAGGATCCCTTGGATGTGGAAAAGGGGGAGGAATGAGAGGTTCTTCCCAGAAAACAGCCAGGTTTGAGGATCAGGACAATCCCGACAGCATTCCCAGTTATCCAGCTCAGGCTTGTTCCCAAAACCCTGCTGTGATCCCACCAGATCCAGACTGGCATCTTTGGGCCAAACTCCACAATTTCCAGCTGTTCCACAGGGAAAACATTCCCTGAGGATCATTTTCTACCAGGATTCCCTCGTGGCTCTGGGAACTGGGAACAGATCCTTTCCAGCTGGTTTATCCATGAGCAGACACAACAAATCCCATGGAGTGTGGAAGTCCTTCCCAAGCCTCTTCCCATGGGAATGAACCCTCGGAAAACACCGGGAGCAGAGCAGGCAGAACAAGGCCTGATCCAGCAGCCTCTTCCACAAATCCCACCTTTCCAAAACCCCACTCCGTGTCCTTTTCCCAAAGGACCAAAGCCATGATTTTTAGGATTTTCCTCACTTTGGGTGGCTGGGATGTGATTCCCGTGCACTTAAACTGGTTTTAAACTCCAGCTGAACTCCTCATCCTGCTTGGATGAGATGGATAAGGCACTCCCGAACCTTGGAGCAGAGGGATTTCACCTCTGGTTGTTTTCCCGATTTTCCAAGGAAAGCAACAAAGGGATCCTTTGTTCCAACCATCCTTTCAAGCAGGGACCAACGCCAAGCTTGGCAAGGAGGGAGAAAAACTCTGGAGCCACACAAGGAAATGCATCCATGAAAAATCCTGGCTCCTGCTTCCAAAGAGCCCTGAGCACGAGCTGCTGGCTTGGGATCCATCCCTTTTCCCAGGAAAGCAGAGCAGGATGGTCCCTGCGGGCCGGGATTGCTCCTTGACCTGCCAAATCTGGCCTGGGATGGGCGGAATGATCCCAATGGTCCATCCACGCCTCAATCCATGTCCACCTCCAGGAGAGGAGCAGCTTCCAGGGCCAGAACTCTGAGGTGGGAATTTTGGGTTGGCCTTCCAGGAAGAAGCTCCCTCCTTTCCCAAAATAACAGGAAAAACAAGGAAAGAAACAAATGGAGAAGGACAAATCCAGGGTCAAACCAAAGAACTCCATCGGTGGCAGGGAGTTTGTTTGGGAAATATTTCTTCCAGGAAAAAAATGCCAGAATTTTCCACTTTGGAATGGTTTTGTCACATCCCTCTCCCCCTTTTCCTGCTGTTTAAACTCTCCCCTAAATTCAATCTGAGTTTGGAGAACTTTCCAATAAAATTATCCCAGGGAACGAAGTTCCAGGATTCCAAAGCTCCGTCTCATTCCTTCTGGAATCTTTGGGATGGGATCCCATATTTCCAGGAGCAACTCCCAGAGCTCCAGGGGGTATAAAGGGAGGTGAGTCCCTATCCAGAGGTTTTATTCACAAAGGAAAAAATGGGAACAGGTTTGCCACCAACATGGTTTTCCATGAATAAATCATGGAAGTCTGAGGAGAGGATTCCAGGGAATCGTGGGCATGGCTGATCCCACTCTGGGCATCCCAGGGTGCTCTCCCCATCCTGGCCACTCAGAAAAACGGGACAAACTGGGAATCCTGCAATTAGAAATGTCTAAGCACTTCCTGCACTGGATTGTGGGAAATCCCAATTCCAGATCATGGGAAATCCGAGATCCGGGTCATGGAAAACTGGGATCAAGCTCCACATCTCAAGTTGGGATCCCACAGATTCCCACATTATTCCCTCAGTTTTCTCCCAAGTTTCTCTGTCCTGGACTTTAAAAAGGGGGATTTTATTACAAAAAGTCCCGTTCCCAAATTCCATGTTCTCCACAGATATGCTCCAGTTACTTCTCTGATAAAAGATGAAGCCCAGCTGTAAATTTTAAGGATAAATCCTTAAATGGGAAGCAAAAAGGAGGGAATGAGGCTGCTTTCCCAATTTCCTAATGCTCCAGTCAGGAGCATTTTCGAGAGCTGCTTTTCCCTTTCCACACTTGTCACTGGAGACAACTTTTCCCAATTGTCCTGTCCCAATTCCAATGGAGGCTGAAGGATTTCAGGACAAGATCCCTACGGAGCTGTGAATAGGATCATGGAATCATGGAAGATTTGGGTGGGAAGGATCTTTAATGTCATTCCATTCCACCTTTTCCATGGGCAGGGACACCTCCCACTATCCCAGGTTTCTCCAAGCTCTGTCCAACCTGGTCTTGGACACTGCCAGGGATGAGGATTTGGAATGAGCAGGAACGAGCAGGGCCACATCCACAGCCTTTTGGGAATTTGCCAAATTCCTAATTCCCAGCTTGATGTGGGACCCAGCCCAAACCTTCCTTGGGATACACTACAAATATCCAAAAGCACCAGAAAATCCTTGGGAATATAAACCCCCAGGAGCCACCAAGGATGTGGATAAAGAGCAGGATCCATGCCCAAATTGGACATCTTGGATTAAGCAGCTCCTCCATGCCTGGAATTGCTCAAGGCCAGGGGATTTGGTTAGGGAGAATCTTAAATGTCATCCCATTCCACCTTTTCCATGGGCAGGGACCCCTCCCATTATTCCAGGTTTCTCCAAGCTCTGTCCAACCTGGTCTTGGACACTGCCAGGGATGAGGATTTGGAATGAGCAGGAACGAGCAGGGCCACATCCACAGCCTTTTGGGAATTTGCCAAATTCCTAATTCCCAGCTTGATGTGGGACCCAGCCCAAACCTTCCTTGGGATACACTACAAATATCCAAAAGCACCAGAAAATCCTTGGGAATATAAACCCCCAGGAGCCACCAAGGATGTGGATAAAGAGCAGGATCCATGCCCAAATTGGACATCTTGGATTAAGCAGCTCCTCCATGCCTGGAATTGCTCAAGGCCAGGGAAACTGAGGCAGGAAACACTTGGAAGGCAGATTCCTTCCAGACACTCCAGCTTTTCCAGCCCTGTGGCATCCACAAACAGGGAAAAGGGAAATTTCAGCCCTTGATATCCCACCAAGGGATGGGAGACCAGGAAAAGATCCACCAAACATTCCTGACACCATTCCCAGCTGCTCCAGAGGCACTGGGATCGCCTCGGGATCCGTGCATCCCATGCACAGCTCGGGACAGGTCTGTCCCAGAGATTCCTTCTGCTGGAGAAGGAACCTGAGGGCTGTAGATACGGGAAGTTTCCACAAGAACGGAAGCTCCAGGGATGTGTCCATCCTGATCCATTCCCAAGGGAATGCTGAGATCCCTCAAATTCATTGGAACTGCACCAATTCCCCACTCCTACCACCATGGATTCGGAATTCCGTAATTCCAGTCCAGTAAAATTTCTGCAAGCCAGAAGCCAAAATGGGAAAAGGAGACCTGGCCATGGAGCAAGGACGACAGAGGCTCAGGGAATTTTTGCTTTCCTTGGGAAGAACCTGGCACGGATTTCTCTCCATCAGGAAAGCAAATCCAGCCCCTCATTCCCAACAGAGGGAATGTGGAGGAGTTTGGGATTGTGCAGGTGAGGAGAGGGAGGGAAAACACATGAAAGTTGGAAAAGGATGGATCCAACTGGATCCAGCCTCACATCAGCACCTTGGATCCACCCTCACCAGATCCACCAGAGCACGGAAAGAATCCAAGATCTTCCCAATGCATTTTCCATACCTGGATGGGGATCAGGGGCTCTTTGTCATCGATGTCAATGAGGACGTCGTCCCTGGGCGTGAGGCTGACATCATCTGCAACCAGAGAGGGGTGGCACCGTGATCCCGGGATTTGGGAATCCCAGAGCCCAAAACCCTTGGGATCAACCTCCAGGAGTAATCCCAGTTTCTCCCAGACCCCACCTCCATGATCCCAATCTCATCCAGACGCCTCAGACCATCCAAGGTTCATCTTCCTGATCCCAAACTCTTCCCAGACACTTCTCACCACATGAAGTTCAACTCCAAGATCCCAAACTCATCCCAGACTTTTCTCACCACCCAAAGCTCATCTCCAAGGCCCCAATCCCATGATCCAAATCCCATCCAGGGCTCCAAGGAGTCAGGAGAGGGACTTGGGACAAGGACATGGAGTGCCAGGACAAGGGGGAATGGATTGAACTGAAGGAGGGGAGATTTCAATGGAATATTGGGGAAAAAATTCCTGGCGGTGGGCAGGGGCTGAGCTGGAATTCCCAGATTTACAGTGGCTGCCCCTGGATCCCTGGCAGTGTCCAAGGCCAGGTTGGACATTGGGGCTTGGATCCACTTGGGACAGTGGGAGGTGTCCCTGCCATGGATGGGGTGGAACGGGATCATCTTTAAGTCCCCTCCCAACCCAACCATTCCATGACTCCACGAAGGACACAAATCCCAACATTCCCACATACCTGGCTGCTCCTGGGGTGCCCCCGTGTCCTGCTGGGAGGGATCCCAGTAGAATTCCTGGAGGGAGCGGATCGTGCACTGTCCCACCACGGGTCTCCGGCCAAAGGGGCGGTTGTCGATGATCTTCAGGATGATGGGGGGGCTGTAGAGGCTCTCCTTGGGCAGACGCTGTGGGAACAGGGAAGGGAAGATGGAATGAGGCTGGAAAGGGAGTGCAGAGGTTCTGTAACATCCCCAAAAATCCAAGGGCAGAGGGAACTTCACTAGAAGAACCATTTTTATGGAATTTTGAGGTCCTTCACCAGAAGAACCAATTTTATGACACCTCTGGGTCTTTCATCACATGACCCATTTTTATGGGGTTTTAAGGTCTTCCACCAGATGTATTTTTATGGGATTTTGAGGTCCTTCACTGTAAAATCTGTTTTTACAGGACTGTCCTCCACAAGATCCACTTTTATGGGACTTTGAGGTCCTTCAGCACAATATCCAATTTTATGGGACCTCCAGATCCTCCAGCATAAGAGCCATTTTAATGGGACTTCCAAAACCCTTCAAAAGATCCATTTCTATGGGACTTTGAGGTTTTTCACAAAATATATTTTTATGGGATTTTGATGTCCTTCACAAGACACATTTTCAAGGAACTTTGATGTCCTTCACCCCAAGATCAATTTTTATGGGATGTCCAGGCCCTTCACAAGATCCACCTTTACAGGACTTCGAGGTCCTTCACCAGATCTGTTTTTATAGGATTTTAAGGTACTTCACCCCATTTTTTAGGACCTTCCCTTCCCCCTGAACCACTCCAGTCCCGCTGGGACCTCACCACTTCCATGAAGAGCACGCAGACATCGAAGTTGGGGTTCTTTTTGACGTTCTTGATGACGCTGGACTGGACGCGCTGCCCCCCACACTCCACCAGCAGGCTGGGCGAGGTCACGCTGGCCAGCTGGAAGCTCTTGAGGTTCCTCAGCCCCCAGGCCAGGATCTATGGGATGAAGGGACTCCAAATCCTGAGCCAAAGCTCTGCTTCCAGGTTTCCATGGGGATCCTCGGCAGTGGAGGAGAACCCAGAAGTTCAACCATTTGGGACAAGCAGTGGTGGGAGTTATGGAATCCTTGAGGTTGGAAAAGACCTCCAAGGTCATGCAGTTCAACCTGAGACCAATCCCCACCTTGGCACCAGGAGTTCCCTGGACACTTCCAGGGATGGGGATTCCAAAGCTCCCTGGACACTCCCAATGCCTGACCACCCTTTCCATGAGGAAATTCCTCCTGATATCCAACCTGAACTTCATCCTTATCCCATCCCTCATTCCCTGAACTTTATCCTTATCCTTATCCCATCCCTCATTCCCTGAGCTTCATCCTTATCCCATCTCTCATTCCCTGGGAGCAGATCCCAACATCCCCAGCTCCACCTTCCTGTCAGGGAGTTGTGAAGAGCCAGGAGTTCCCCCTGGAGCCTCCTTCTTTTGGAATCCCACCCCAGAATCCATCTTGGATCCCATTCCCGGCTCTTGTTCCCGGATCCATGGCTCACCTCGATGGCCGTGCGCTGCAGGACAGGTTTGATTCCCTGTGGGACCATGTAAACGTTGGGCTCCCGCTGCGGCGGCGGGTAGGGAAGGTCAGAATCCGCGGACTGCAGGAGCGGAGAGGGAAAGGAAAACATCAGGAAGTGCCAGGATGGGAAATCAAACCCCTTTCCATGTTGGGTCCACCCAGAATCTCCATCCTTGCCAAACTGATCTCTCCCAGGAAATCCAGGACAGCCGGAGGAGAGAGGTGAGGAATGGCAGGATGGAGGTCCCGGTGCTCTTTAATCCATCCTGGAGAAGATCCAACATTCCTGAGCTTCTCCCAGGGATCTGCCCTCCAAGGTTAAACCGTTTTTAGGGAATGACGGGATGGAACCGCCTCTTTCCCATCCCGGGATCACGGCAGGGATGAAGCAGCAGCAGCAGATTTCTAGTTGGGCAATTCCCAAAAAATTTAGTGGGAGCAGCACTGTGGGATGGGGGATTGGCATCGCCTCTGGATCTGGGAAGGGGCTGTGGTTCATCCCACACTTCATGGATAATCCAGAAATCCATGGGATAGGGCTCAGGTGAAACTACCTGGGAATTCCATTGGGATCATACCAAATCTGGGAGGCAGACGAGGAATTCCCAATTTGCCTTTCCAGATGAGGAGAGTGGGAACCAGAATTCCTCCCCTTTTCTTTTCCTGCATCTCTCAGAGCACCCAGAAAGGTCGGAATGAAAGCAAAACCTCTGGAAATCCATCCTAGGAGCATGGAATTCTCTCCCAGCTGGAATTTTACTGGATTCAATGATGTGTGGGTGTGTTTTAATTACGGGAGTGGGTGAAGGATTGGTTCTACAAAGGGATTTTCCACATGGAATCGTGGAACGGTTGGGGCTGGAAAAGGCCTTAAGGATCATCCAATTCCAACACCCTTCCCATAAAATTCCAAGCTTTAACTTTCCTTGGGAATTGCTGGTTCCTGAGTCAAGCTGCTCATTAGCCAAAAGTTTTCAGGAATTCCATGTGGGAGGAGGTGCCTGGGATTCCCACATGAGCAGCCACTCCTCCTCCATCCCACGATCCACATGCTCCCAGTGTGGGTTAGTGCTGGCAGGGAATGGGAATTTTATCTGGGATAACCCAAAGGAGAAGGGAGAGCTGCAGAGAATTCCCACATTCCCTGGGTTACCTCTGGAACTCTAATTCCCCCCAAAAAAACTCACTTCAGACTGCTCAGGCCTGAAATCATGGAATGGTTTGGGTTGGAAGGGATTTTAAAGATCAATCCTTCAGCAAATCCAGCGGGAAATCCTTGGGAAAGAGCTCCTGCCCCATTCATCCTCTCCAGGATCAACTTGGATTTTAACCCTGCGTTGTTCCAGGGTTTTTTAAGTCCTTCCTGCTGCTCTCCCAGTGGTTTTCCAGGTGTTCTCCTGGATTCCAGTTGAATGTCAGAGGATGGAATATTGGAATGGATGGGAATGAACAGTGAATGCCGGGGATGAGGCAGGAGCAGGGAAGGATCAGGATGGGACTGGGAAAAAATAATTCCCAGACAAAGCCGGCTGGCAGGAGGAAAATCCAGGAAAATCCTGCTTGGAGCCAGGATGGGTTGAACAAGGATACATCTAAGGCAATCTAGGTGGCAAAGAGCTCTGGAGATCATAGATTCCAACCTGGATTTGGATCCAGGATGAGTGAAAATCAACATGGATGAGGCAAAAAAAAAAAAAAAAGCTGGAAGAGATTCCCAGTTTATATGGAAGCTGGGATGCGATCCAAAGATAAATCCCAGAGTTCAGTGGGAATAGAGCCCAAAAAGGCCATTCCCAAGAAAAAATGGATAAGGATAGAGCCAGCCTGGTCCTTCAGGAGCATCCATGGGGCACCGGAGGCTCTGGCTGGCACCAATCCTTGGCATGCAGCCTCCGGAATTTTGTCAGGATGGGGTTCCTGCAATCCTGCTCTCCCTGAAAGGCTCTGCTGGGATTTTCTTGGATTCTGGGAAAAGGGAAGGAAAGGGAAGAGAGTGATACCCATTGGAGGATCCCCTCTGAGAACAAGGCAGGGATGCAGAGCTGTGGAATGCCCCATCCCGGAATTCCAGCGGTGGGAAGAAATGGAGGCAAAAAGAGGAGAGAGATGATTATGGACAATATGGAACAGCAGGATGAGTTCCCAAGGAAAGGTGGTTTGGATGGGAAAGAAGTCTTGGAAAAATGTCTTTATCCCATCCAATCCAACCTTTCCTGGGAATGTGGCTCAGGTCTTTCCTAGCTCATCTCATGGATTTTGGGATTAACAGCTCCGAGAGCCACGACAACATTCCAAGAGTTGTTCCCTTTCCCTGCCTGAAGTTTTCGAAGATCCCAACTCTTGGTTCAGCCTGGGAGTGGCTCCATGAGATGTACAAAGATAAAGTCTTGGGATCCTGGGTGTGGAATCAGAATCATGGGAATTATGAAGTCTCATGGAATCTCATGGAGTTTTCTGTTAGAAAACTCATCTCATTCCATGGGCAGGGAACCTTCCACTATCCCAGGTTACTCCAAGCCCCATCCAACCTATCCCTGAATTGTTTTCATGGAACAAGGGACAAAAATTCCCTTCGGAACAACTGGAACAGTCCAGCACATCCTCGATTCATGGCAAAGTTCCTATGGAAAGTTTGGAATTGGGATTTCCCAAGGGCAGCCCAGCATTCCAGCTCTGGCACACCTGGGTTGAGATGGGACACCTCATTCCAGAGGGTAAATGGATCCCAACATTCCCAGCCATGAGGAAAAGCTCATCCAGCCAGAGGTCACTCATATTCCCAAAATCCTGATGCTCCCAAGCTTGACCCGTCCGGGAAAAAGAGGATTTCCCAAGGAAGCAAATTTGAACAATTCCAAGAGGAAAAACAAGGAATTTCCAAAGACTCACCTCATCCAGGCTGGAGGAGAGATCGCTCTGGGAAAGAGGAGGAAAGAACGGAATTAGAGGAGTTTGCATCCCTAAGCCCATCCCAAGGTTTATAATTGGAGCTGACATCCGAAGTGATTCATGGAATGCTTTGGGGAGGAAAAATCCATAGGATCCCATCCAGAGACACCCCCTCCCACTATCCGTGGTGGATCCAACCTGGCCTTGGGCACTGCCAGGGATCCAGGGGCAGCCACAGCAAATCTGGGAATTCCAGCCCAGCCCCTGCCCACCCTCCCAGCCAGCAATTCCTTGCCAAGATCCCAGCCCAATCTCCCCTTGGCCAGTGGCAGCCATTCCCTGTGTCCTGTCCCTGCAGGCCTTGACCCCAGTCCCTGGAGCTCCTTTAGGGACTCAGAGCTTTCCCTGGAATTTTCCCTTTTCCAGGGGAACTTTCCCAGCTCTCCCAGCCTGGCTCCAGAGCCTTTGGAGTATCTCCATGGGATCCTGTGGATCCTGGAATGGGATAAATTTGCCCTGTCAGGAAGGAGCTGCCCCACTCCCAGTTTTCCTTATCAGCTGAGGAAAAGCAGAATCTCTATGCTTTAGGATTCCTTCATCCTAAAAGGATTCCCTAGGACAGGATGGAGGGATTGCTGTAGGGCTGGAAACAGGCTCCAAATCCCTGGGAAAGTTGGGAGTGGTGCTGGATTTGCAAGGAGGAGTCGGGAATTACCTCGAATCCAGGGATGTGATGAACAGCTGGCTGCAGGGAGAGAACACAATTCCCATTAACATTCCCACTGCTAATTCCTCTTTTTCCACGAGGGAAACTTCAGCCCTTTCTGTTCCCAGCTTTAAAAATCCTGGATTCTCATCCAGCCAAGAAGCACCAAATCCACCCAGATGATTCCCACTGGGATCAAACAGCTCTTCTGGGAGCACATCTCATTCCAGGGCTTTTCCAAGGCCTTTCCCACCTGAGTTTGGAGGGAATGAGGAGGAGGAAGCGGCCACATGTAGATATTTGGGGCCTTCTCCTGGTGTTTGGGCTGGGAAGAGGGAATTGTGGGATTCCCATTCCCAGATAAACCATGGGGTTGGGAAGAAAGAATGGGATACCGGGACTGAGCTTTCCAATCCATCCTTTTCACCTGGCACATCTGGGATGCAGCCATTGGAAAAGCTGGAGTGGCTTCAGCTCTCCTTAACCCCCTCCAGAAATATTCCAAGGAAAGGGCAGCATTCCTTAGGGATTTGGCAATTCCCAGCTCCCTCAATATCCCTGAGATTTCCCCAGGACTTGTCCAAGGAGAGAAGGATCCATCCAGCCCATCCCACCTGGAATTCTGCAGTTTTCCATCAGGCCAATCCTAAACTACCTCTTTTCCCACCTGGAAAACCTCATCCTATGGAATTATCCCTCAAAAAGGGACAAATCCCAGATCCCTCCAGTTCTTCAGAGACTCCAAAGGCACCAATGGAAAACCCACCACCTGGAAAAGTTGGATCCTGGGGCAGAACCGGAATTCTGGAACATTCCAGACTCAGGGATGGATCTCACCTTTTCCCTCTGGATCAGCTCAAAGGCAGCCAGGAGCTCCCCGGCATTCCGGCCGGATTTGAGGACAGGATACCAGGAAAGCCGGGGCGAGCGCTCCAGGCTGGGCCGGCAGATGCAGCGTCCCATGAATTCATCCGCGCCCTGGAAAGGGAATTCCAGGGAATTGGGAACCATGGGAATTGGGATCATCCTTGCCATCCCTTTTCCCAGAGAAATCCATCCCCCGCTCAGCCAAAAGTCAAGAGCGAGGGATGATCCCTTTACGGGATTGGGGCAGGGAAAACGCATGGGATTGGTGCTCATGGAGCCTCCAGTAGTTTTCCAACTCCTCTCTGGAATTCCTAAGGCTGGAAAAACACCTTTTAAAGAGAAGAACACCTTTTTAGGAATTCCTATCCCAGGTTTTCCAGAGCAGGAACTTGGAGCCTTCGCCAGCTCCTAAAAATCCCATTCCCTGCTCCACACTGGGATCTTTGGAATCTTTCCTGCTTCCTGCTGGGAAGGAGCAGGAGAGAGGGAAAAAGATTCCTGAGATATTCCCAAGCCCTTCCCAAGGTGTATTCCAAGTGTTTTTCCAAAAAATTCCCTCCTTCACTTGCTTTTTCCATTTTTTTTTTTCCAAGGGAAATCCTCTCCTGCAGGAAGCAGGAAAGATTCCAAAGAGGGAAAAGAAGCAGAAAGATTTCCAGAGAGGGAAAAAGATTCCCGAGATATTCCCAAGCCCCTCCCAAGGTGTATTCCAAGTGTTTTTCCACAGAATTCCCTCCTGCACTTGGTTTGTCCAGGGTTGTTTTTGTTTTGTTTTTTTTCCAGCTTGCTTTTTCTGGGAAAAACCTCGAGTTCCTGCCACCAACCCCCTAGAATTCCATTATTCCCAGGCCCTTTGGACACCGCAAACAGCAGAGGGCATTTCCCTACTTCTGACTGCATTCAGCTTTATCCCAAGGTTTTTCCATGAGGAAACTCTGTTAATTTTCCCACTTTAAATGACAACAAGGAAGCTCAATGAATGGGACCTCAAGGACACCACAGGATTTTCCCTGGAATTTTTCTCCCCTGGAATGTCCACCTCAAAGCCTGAACCACCCAGAGATGCCAGACATCACATTCCAGAGGCTGGGAATTCCCGGCGGGAATCGCCGCACTCACATAGGTGTCGTGGTCATAGATTTCCACCAGGATGTTGGGAGGGGACTCGGCCACGTCCTGAGAATTCCCGAAAATCTCGATCTCGTAGAAGATCAGGGTCTGATCCCAGGTGGGATTCAGGGTGTTCTTCTCCACCACCGTCTTCTGGCTCTGGTGCAGGAAGGACACGATGGCGTAGGGATCTGTGGGAGTGGGATTCAAGGATTGGGATTCAGGGATGGATCCCAGCTCCGGCTCTTCCCAGAATTCCAAGTTCCATCCAGAACCAGCTCCCAAAGAATTTGGGGGTTCTCATCTCACTCCATCTCACCCTGCATTCCCTCAGGTCTTGCTTGAGGAGAGAGGAGCTGCCCAGTCTATCCCACCTGGAATTCGGCATTTCAAGCCCAGACTGCCCTGTTTTCCAGGTGGTTTTCCAGCTGGAAAGGCTCAGTTTCAGAGTTGGGATTGTTCTAAAGATCCAGGGAAATCTTAGAGCCACTTCTGGGACCTAAAGGGACTCCAGGAGAGCTGGAGAGGGATTTGGATAAGGGAAGGAGGGACAGGACACAGGGAATGGCTTCCCACTGGGAAAGGGGAGATTGGGATAGGATCCTGGGAAGGAATTCCTGGCTGAGAGGTAGAGGAGCATCCCACACATCCCTGGATGCAGATTCCAGGAACAACCCACACATCCCTGGGGGCTTTAATGAGAATCAAAAGATGCAGCTCCCAGGATCATCCCACATCCCTCTGGATTCCGATCCCAGGATTATTCCACAAATCCCTGGGTGCAGATCCCAGGATTATCCCACATCCATGGATTCAGATCCAAGGAACACCCCACATACATCCCTGGATTCAGATCCCAGGAAAATCCCACATTCCTGGATTCAGATCCCAGGATGATGCCACAAACCACTGGACTGAGATCCCAGGATTATCCCACACCCCCTGGAAGCAGGGCCAGCTGATCCCAGCACCATTCCCCCTTTTCCCCAGGAACTGGGGCACCAGCAGTTGGATTTCCCCCTCTATCCATGCTTAACAATCCAGGACCACTCAGACATTCCCAACAACCCACTCTGGGAAGAGCTTTTCCCACTTTTCCTCAGCCAAATCCTTTACAATAAACAAAAAACTCTGGATTTGGAGTTGCTTTTCCCTTTTTTTTCCCCCATTTTTCCCTCCCTTCTCCTCCTTTTTTTTTTTTTTTTTCATGGAAGCCTCTCTAAAGCCCCTTTGTTGGGAGCAGGGAATGTTTCTTTTTCCCTCCCTTCTCCTCCTTTTTTTTATTTTTTTTCATGGAAGCCTCTCTAAAGCCCCTTTGTTGGGAGCAGGGAATGTTTATTTTTCCAACTGCCAAGCCCCTTTAATGAACTCCTTTATTCCCGGCAGCGGGAATCACAATCCCACATTGTGGAACGTTGCTGTTCGTGTTGTCCTTGGCTAGGATTTTTCCAAAGGAAAACTATTCCAGACTCCCCTCCCGGGCCATGAGCTCACCTCGCTCCCACCTCCTCATCCCAACAAGGAGCCTTTTGTGGGAATTCCAGGTGGGAGCAGGCACTGGGGGATTTTTTTGGATGCTCTGGGGTGTTTATTCCCAAAAATCACATTATTCCAACTACTGGGAAAAGCAGGATTCCCTCGGGGTCACGGTCCAGCTGCTTCCCCAGCTTTGGGATTGACCCTGTTTCCCATCATTCCCGGATGTGTTGTTCCAAGTGGAGTTGAAATCCCAGAATTGGGAGGGAAATCCCACCCAAATCCTTCTGTAAATTCTCATGGGAATCAAGCAGGGATAGCCCTGGAGGGATGTTGGATCTCTCCCACCAGTGGATTCTTTTTCTGGGATTTGGGACATTCCACATTATCTGAGCTCTGATCCAGAGGAGGTGACATCCCCTTTTCCCACTTTTCCAGCTCCAAAGCCTTAATGGGAATACCTGGCTGGGATGGCCCAGCCTCCAGGGATGAGAATGTGGAATCTTCTGGCTGCTGGGATAATTCCAGGCATTCCATTGCCCTCTCAACCACATTCCAAAGAGATGTTCCACCTGCATCCAACCATCCAAGCACCTCCAGCATGGAAACCCCATGGATAAAAGGATTTCTCCTATTATGACTTCTTTCTTATCCCAAAAAACCCAGTGTGGGAAGTCCCAATCACACCAGCACAATCCTGGGAATTTCAGAAATCCCTGGAGTTATGCTGGGAAAGGGTGGAGCAGCAGAATGGGGAAAACTCCTCCACAATGGCTAGCCCCTGTTTTCCACCTGAATTCCCTTTTTTCCACGAAAATACCCTTCCTAAATCACAAATCCCAGGGACTGCTGCCCCCCTGTGCAGCTAGGAGAAGGGGGATGCTAAGGAATTATGGAATCATGGAATCCCAGATTGTTTTGGGACAGAAGGGACCTTATGGATCATCCTTAAGGATAAAACCCCATGGGCTGGGAACCTTCCACTGGATCAAATCCAACAAGGAATTTCCTGAGGATGCTGGAGAAGAAGGGGCCAGACTGTGCCAAGGTCCCGATAAAATCCTGTCACCCTCTGGAATTTTCCCTGGGAACATCCCATGGAAGTTTCTCCCTGTGGTCCATCATATCCAGCATGGAGAATGAAAGGCTCCAGAGATTCCCTGGAGCCCATTCCAGGCCTGCAGGGGCTCCAGGAGAGCTGCAGAGGGACTGGGGACAAGGGACAGAGGGACAGGACCCAGGGAATGGCTGCCACTGGCCAAGGGGAGATTGGGCTGGGATCTGGGCAAGGAATTGCTGGCTGGGAGGGTGGGCAGGGGCTGGGCTGGAATTCCCAGATTGGCTGTGGCTGCCCCTGGATCCCTGGCAGTGCCCAAGGCCAGGTTGGACATTGGGGCTTGGATCCACCTGGGATAGTGGGAGGTGTCCTGGCCCATGGATGGTCCCCCTCTGTTCCCAGAATTCCATCCCGGTGTAGATCCGGACTCACCGGAGAAGCTGTCCTTGTCCATGGCCATGAGATCCCGTGCCTGGTACAGGTAACAGCGCAGGTGGAATCTGTTCCCAGCTGCCAGAAGAACAGGAAACATGGAAAAGATCCCAGGGTCATTCCGTCATTCCTCATCTCCCATCTGAGAGAATCCCGGCTTAATCCCCCGGGACATCCCGAGCTCCAATCCTGGAGCCTGTGGATGCTCCCATATGCACCGTCCTCCCCTCCACCCTTTTTCCATCTTTATTTCTCCATCTTTTTTTGGGAAAGGGATGGTAAATGCCTTTCCTGCTCCCCTGGGGTTCTTACAGTCAAAAATGCAGGAGATTGTGGGTCTGTTGACTCCAAAACTCAGGGTGGATGCGGACTTTCCATCAGATTTTCCATCGTCGCTCTTGTCGTCCGTCACTCCTCCCTGCAAGGAAAACAATAGAAAGTCGGGAATGCTGGGATCACCTCCAGAGCCAGGTTTCCCCATGGGATGGAATTCTCTGGGGTGTCCAAGAGGAGTCTGGGCTTCCGGTGTTCCCCAGAATCCTAAAATTTAGGTTGGAAAAGCTCTTGGAGATCCCCGTGTTCTCCTATTTCCCCATTGGCCTTGGAATATTTGTGGGAAAAGGAGCAATTTCCAAGCCTGAGAATTCCCGTTTGTGGAACCCATGGGAAAAAGGGGAATAGGAACAATCCCGCCGGGAGAACTGGGGATGAGAGGCAGCCAGGGTCCCCTGAGATGGGAACAGCTCATGCAAAACACCACAGAGCCACTTTTATCCCAAAGGGATCAACTTTGGATTGGAGGGAAAGACAGAGCAAGGAAAGAGGGGGAAAAAAGCCAAACAGGAGAGGAAAAAAATCCATAAAAATACAGAATAGGAGCTTTGTGCTGCTTTGCCTCTCATGGAATCATTGGAAAAGCAGCGTGTTGGGAAATCCAGAGTGTGGAGAAAGTCAGGAACAAAGAGGAAAAGCAGGGAACAAACAGGGCGGATAATGGGATAACGGAAAACAGGCAACAAGCAGCCGATAACAAGCGGCCAATAACATTCCCAAGAAGAAATTTGGGAATGGGAGAGGCTGTTCCCTACCAGAGCCCCTTCCAAGGCGAAGACGGCGGCGGGACCGGTGCGTTCCAGAGGCTCCATCCGGCGTCTCCAGCGGCGCCGGCGGAAGGAGTCGGAGCGGCGCTGCTGGAGGTGGAAGCGCCAGCCAAAGAGGGAAGCGTATTCCCAACCATCCCCGTCCAGATCCTCCTGCTTGTGCTGCCAGACAGGGATCACAGGGATCAGGTTTTCCCAGACTGACCCAAAAGCTGGATTTAGGTTTTTTGGGATGTTGTTGGATATGGTTGATCCACCCCAGGTTTTCCCTGTGTCTCCCCCAGACTGGAATTATGGAATGGAGTCATGGAATTGTTCGGAGAATCACAGGAATATTCCGGTTGGGAAAGATCTCTGAGGTCATTTGGTTTCAGCTGGGAAAGGCTCTGGAGATTATCATGGAATCATGGAATAGTTTGGGATGGAAGGGACTTTATAGCTCAGCCACTTCGAGGGACACTTCCGACCATCCCAGTGTACTCCAAGCCCCCTCCAGCCTGGCCTTGGACACTGCCAGGGATCCAGGGGCAGCCACAGCCAATCTGGGAATTCCAGCCCAGCCTCTGCCCACCCTCCCAGCCAGCAATTCCTTGCCCAGATCCCAGCCCAATCTCCCCTTGGCCAGTGGCAGCCATTCCCTGTGTCCTGTCCCTCTGTCCCTTGTCCCCAGTCCCTCTGCAGCTCTCCTGGAGCCCCTGCAGGGACTCTGAGCTCTGCCTGGAATTTTCCCTTCTCCAGGGGAACATTCCCAGATCTCCCAGCTTGGCTCCAGAATGCCGGAATGGTTTGAGTGGGAAGGGATCTTAAATCCCATCCTATTCCACCCCATCCATGTTCAGGGACATCTCCCCTATCTCAGGTTGCTCCAAGCCAATGTCCATCCTGGCCTTGGACACTTCCCAGGATGGAGCCGGATTATCCCAATCCAACCATTACCACTGCTGGAACCATCCCGGGAATGCAGCTCTCCAGCAATCCCTGAGATGAATCCCACTTGGAGCGGGATTGCTGGGCTGGGGCCAGATCCTGCCCACGCCTGTGGAGCTCCAGCAGCTCCATTTCCCATCCCGCTTTCCCTTTGCCATCATCCCGACCCCTCCTATGGCTCTGCCACTTCTGGAATTTCTCTCTGGATCATCCACCCCAAGTCTGGAAGGTTTTTCTCCCAGTGACACCCACAGCAAGTAGGGTGACAGTGGCTACAGTTATCCCGAAAATTTTCTGGGAAGGGAGACAAGTGGCCTTGGGAAGCAGCTGGAAGGACCGAGGAGCAGAAGCAGCATTCCCGGTCCAATGGCACCATCTAGAGGGAAGCAGGATAGGGACAGGCTGGGGACACCGGCCCTCCCCCAATTCCCACACTCCCAGACTTTCCTGGATGTCCCCATCTCACCCCACATCCCAGTCAATCCCTCCGGAATGTTCTCCACCCTGGGAATGTGGTGTTTTCCACTGGAAACCAAGACAAGCTCCCCTCAATCTCCAAGGAAAAGCAGATCCTGCCAAAGCCAGGCGCCCACTGGAGGGACAGGGCCATATCCCGACCCAGTGGCACCTTTTCCTGGCCAATCCCACCTTTCTCATGGCTTCCATGTGCTCCAGGTCGCGCCGGCGGAGCCGCACCCAGCGCCGGCGCCGGTGGGTGTGGAACATCTTCTCCGCCGGCACCCAGGCCTTGGGCTTGCGCTCCGGCGGGATCGTGATCCCGTACTCCCAGCCTTGGGAAGAAGGGAATACCTGGTGGAGGTGGGAGAAGAGCCTCCCCCCACACCTTGGCTCCCACCAGGAATTTCCAACAGTGAAGGTGTGGCTGAATTCAGCAAAATTTCCCGGTTGGATTTCCCTCCTTATGGCACAACCCACCCCTCTGGAATGCTCAGGGATGGATCCGTGGTGTCCTTGGCTCCAAATCCCATCTTGAGGACTCTTCCCTCTCTCCCTTCAGCCACTCCAACCCCTGGGACCATCCCAGCACTCTCCAGCCCAGTGTTTTTCATTTCTTTTCCACCAGGATCTTCCCAGATTATCCCAGCACTGCCTTTGGGAATTCTCATCCCACCACTCCAAGCAGAGACAAGGGAAAAGGATCCTCCACCAGAGCCTGATCCCTTCTCCTGATCCAGTTCCCACAGCCATGGGAATGTTTTCATCCACAGACCATGGAAAGAAATCCCAAACTTCCCAAATCCCAGATCCCAAAATTCCGTCTTTGGTACCTTTCTCATCCACAGCCCTGTTGAGATCCGTGTCCCATTCCACATCTTCCCACTTCCAGCCTGGAGGACACTCAATCTCATCCTTGGGCAGGACCTTCTCCCCATTCTGTGGGACACAAGGAATTCTCACCCAAACTAATCCCTAAATTTCCCCTGGGATTCCAGCCCGGCTCCCAGAATTCCCAGTTTTCCCTTACCACGTCTGTGTAGGAATCGGTCATGTGGATCCACTGCCCTCCAGGAAGACGGACCTGGTTCTCAAACACCTCCTCCACAAAGCTCAGGTGTCCAGCGTCCACGTCATGCAACAACCTGAATCCCGGGAATAGCCCAGATCCCAGCCCAATCTCCCCTTGGCCAGTGGCAGCCATTCCCTGTGTCCTGTCCCTCTGTCCCTTGTCCCCAGTCCCTCTGCAGCTCTCCTGGAGCCCCTGCAGGGACTCTGAGCTCTGCCTGGAATTTTCCCTTCTCCAGGGGAACATTCCCAGATCTCCCAGCTTGGCTCCAGAATGCCGGAATGGTTTGAGTGGGAAGGGATCTTAAATCCCATCCTATTCCACCCCATCCATGTTCAGGGACATCTCCCCTATCTCAGGTTGCTCCAAGCCAATGTCCATCCTGGCCTTGGACACTTCCCAGGATGGAGCCGGATTATCCCAATCCAACCATTACCACTGCTGGAACCACCCCGGGAATGCAGCTCTCCAGCAATCCCTGGGATGAATCCCACCTGGAGCGGGATTGCTGGGCTGGGGCCAGATCCTGCCCACGCCTGTGGAGCTCCAGCAGCTCCGTTTCCCATCCCGCTTTTCCCTTTGCCATCATCCTGACCCTTCCCATGGCTCTGCCGCCTCTGGAATTTCTCCCTGGATCATCCACCCCAAGTCTGGAAGGTTTTTCCCCCAGTGACACCCACAGCAAGTAGGGTGACAGTGGCTACAGTTATCCCGAAAATTTTCTGGGAAGGGAGACAAGTGGCCTTGGGAAGCAGCTGGAAGGACCGAGGAGCAGAAGCAGCATTCCCGGTCCAATGGCACCATCTAGAGGGAAGCAGGATAGGGACAGGCTGGGGACACCGGCCCTCCCCCAATTCCCACACTCCCAGACTTTCCTGGATGTCCCCATCTCACCCCACATCCCAGTCAATCCCTCCGGAATGTTCTCCACCCTGGGAATGTGGTGTTTTCCACTGGAAACCAAGACAAGCTCCCCTCAATCTCCAAGGAAAAGCAGATCCTGCCAAAGCCAGGCACCCACTGGAGGGACAGGGCCATATCCCGACCCAGTGGCACCTTTTCCTGGCCAATCCCACCTTTCTCATGGCTTCCATGTGCTCCAGGTCGCGCCGGCGGAGCCGCACCCAGCGCCGGCGCCGGTGGGTGTGGAACATCTTCTCCGCCGGCACCCAGGCCTTGGGCTTGCGCTCCGGCGGGATCGTGATCCCGTACTCCCAGCCTTGGGAAGAAGGGAATACCTGGTGGAGGTGGGAGAAGAGCCTCCCCCCACACCTTGGCTCCCACCAGGAATTTCCAACAGTGAAGGTGTGGCTGAATTCAGCAAAATTTCCCGGTTGGATTTCCCTCCTTATGGCACAACCCACCCCTCTGGAATGCTCAGGGATGGATCCGTGGTGTCCTTGGCCCCAAATCCCATCTTGAGGATTCTTCCCTCTCTCCCTTCAGCCATTCCAACCCCTGGGACCATCCCAGCACTCTCCAGCCCAGTGTTTTTCATTTCTTTTCCACCAGGATCTTCCCAGATTATCCCAGCACTGCTTTTGGGAATTCTCATCCCACCACTCCAAGCAGAGACAAGGGAAAAGGATCCTCCACCAGAGCCTGATCCCTTCTCCTGATCCAGTTCCCACAGCCATGGGAATGTTTTCATCCACAGACCATGGAAAGAAATCCCAAACTTCCCAAATCCCAGATCCCAAAATTCCGTCTTTGGTACCTTTCTCATCCACAGCCCTGTTGAGATCCGTGTCCCATTCCACATCTTCCCACTTCCAGCCTGGAGGACACTCAATCTCATCCTTGGGCAGGACCTTCTCCCCATTCTGTGGGACACAAGGAATTCTCACCCAAACTAATCCCTAAATTTCCCCTGGGATTCCAGCCCGGCTCCCAGAATTCCCAGTTTTCCCTTACCACGTCTGTGTAGGAATCGGTCATGTGGATCCACTGCCCTCCAGGAAGACGGACCTGGTTCTCAAACACCTCCTCCACAAAGCTCAGGTGTCCAGCGTCCACGTCATGCAACAACCTGAATCCCGGGAATACCCAAAATCAGGGATTCTCCATCCCACCTTCCTCCTGTGCCATCCTCAGCGCTCCCAAAGATCTTCCACCCCTCCAAGCAAAATTCCTCCTCAGGAAAAACCCAAACCAGGATGAAAACCTCACCCCAAAGCTCCTCACTTTTGGAGCATCCCAAGATTTGGATGAGGGGGAATCACCTCCATGGACACAGGTGAGGAACTACAGGGGCATCGCAGATTTTGCCACCGGATTTTGGGATTCTCGGGAATTCCCAGCAGAAAAGCCCCACTCACGTCTTTTCTGGGCAGACAAACCAATCCCCAGCCCAGGTCCATCCTGCGGAAGGCCGGAAGCTGTCCTTGGGAAGCTTGATCCGGCCGGTGACGTCGGAATATTTGGGATAAGTGAGGCCGGTGGTGCCCCAGTTCCCCACCAGCGCCAGCTTGGTCTGGTTCTCATACTGGGAGAGACAAAAAAAAAGAGGGATTTGGGGTTGGAATGACAGAATTCCATGAATAATCCCATAGAATCCCGTGAATAATCCCTGCAGAGGGACAGACCTCCTGGGAAAAGCCCAACCCATTCCACAGCATCCCAATTTTCCCATTGTAAGGGACAACACAGCTCCATGACTCATTCCCAACTTTCCCCTCAGCATTCCAGGCTGAGCTGGTGGGAACAGCTCTTCCTTCCCACAGTTTTTAGGAAATGATGAGGTTTCAGGTTTAGCCCATCCCCTTTTCCTGCTGGGATGGGGATCCCTTGGGAATGCTCACGGTTTCAGCGAAGACGGAGAGTTTTCCCTCGGCGAATTGGTTGAATTCCTTCTCATCCACGGCCAATCCAAACCAGAGCCGCACCCGGATCTGCGCCGGGATCCGCGGCCCCATCACCTCCTCCTGTGGGTACTGGCAAGGAAAAGGCCCCCAGGAAGGGATTAACAGGAATTCTGGGAGGTTGGAAGGGTGGAAATGAAGATCCCTAGATGGGGCAGGTGGGACATGGGGCAGTCATGGGATAATGTCAGGAGTGGGTGGAGCGCTTTGGGATCATGGAATTGAGGTTGGAAAAGACCTTCAGGATCATCCAAACGCCACCATCGGCATCCCTAAAATGTGTCCCCAGCTGACCTTGAGGAGATTCAAAATTCCAGTGATCCTGGACAGGATCAGGGATAGGATCAGGGACATGGACAGGGTCACAGGTCAGGGACAAGGACATGGACAGGGAAAAGGACATGGATAAGGTCAGGGGCAAGGACCGGGAGAGGGACAGTTACACAAACAAGTGTTTAAGGTCTCTCCCAGACCAAAACTTTCCATGGTTCCATGAAACCAGAGCTAACATTTCCAAGTTCTCCCATCCTGTCTCCATGGTAGCGGGGCAGAATTTCCCCTTTTCCTGCTGTGGGATCAGCCCAGAGCACATGGAGCTTCCCACCCACCAACATTCCAAGCCCTTCTCCCAGGGCTGCTCCCTATCCATGAATTGACCTCAACTCATCCATGAGCAACACCAGCCTCCACCATCGGAGCCAAACCTGGCACCGTGGGAGAATCCCATGGATTTGGGAGCAGGCATCAACATCACCCCCACTTCCCACGAAAACCACAATGGGAAAACCAGGAAGAGTCACCTCCTCCGCCATGGCCCGGAGCCGGCACAGCCAATCCTCCGCCTGATCCAGGATTTGGGAAAGGCTGGAATTCTCATGTTTGAGCCTCAGAGCCACCTTCAGGATCTGCTCCAGGTGGGTGCTCCGGAAGCGGAACAGGTTCTGATCCAGGTGGGTGCTGGATGCTCTCCCCAGGACATCAGGAAGCTTCAGGCTGCAGGGATAGGCGGGAATCAGGGATTGGGTAGGATTGGGATGGACCTTGAAGGTCATTAAGGGTTGTTAATTGTCACTGATGATGACTAATGGTGATTAATGGTCATTAATTGTCATTAGTGGTCACTAATGGTCACCAATCATCATCAATGGTGATTAATGGTCACCAATCATCATCAATACTCATTAATGGTTGTTACTGATCACTAAAGATCATTAATGGTCATCAGTCATCATTAATGATCATTAATGATCATAAAAGGTCATTAATGGTCTCTAATTGTGAGATTTTCTGGCCTTTTTAAATATTTTTTCCGTATTTTCATCAAGTTTCCAAGAAATTGAGACACCATCAAAGATATTTGGGAACAGGAAGAACAAAAGAGCTTCAAACCACAGCCAGAATTCCCCCTGGAATCAGGATGGGAATGAGCCACACACACATTTTAATATCCATTATCCAAGCTCCTGGAAAAATGGATCAGCTGCCAAACTGGGAGGTTTTTCCTGTAAAATTCAAGGATTTATGGATCCGCTGCTATAAATTAACTTCCTGCTCCCGGCTCCTGAGCTGCAAATCAGGATTTCCTCCGGAAAAAATAGATGGAGAGAAAGATAAATTTATTTTTAGGCCGTGGAGAGGTTTGGAAGGAGATTTTTAAGCATGCGATATCCCCACCTCAGGAATTGGGATTGGGATCTGTAAATCCCATTTTTTCTTGCAGGTAAATAGGGAGAACATGGAATTTTGGAATGGTTTGGGATTTTCCACTATCCCAGGTTGCTCCAAGCCTTGTGTCCAGTCTGGCCTTGGACATGTCTAGGGATAAAGATTAGGAGTGAGGGGGAATGTGTAGAGAAGAGGTGGAAAAAGAGGGGAAAATGGGAAAAAAGAAAAAAAGGTGGGGGGAAGGAGGGAGGGAAGGGGAAAAGGGAAAAAAAGAAAAAAGGGAGAGAAAAGGCAAAAAGGGGGAAAAGGGGGAAAGGGAACAAAAGGGGGAAAAGACCAAAAAAAGGAAAAAAAGCAGGAAAAAGAGAAAAATGGAAAAAGGGGAAGAGAGGAAAAGGAAAAAAAGGGGAAAAGAGGGCAAAAAGAGAAAAAAAGGGGGCAAAAGAGGAAAAAAGAAAAAACAGGAAAAAGGGGGAAAAAAAAAAGGAAAGAGGACTGAGTAAAAAGGGGAGAAAAGGAAAAATATTAAAAGGGAGAGAGGGAGAAAAGGGGAGAAAATAAAGAAATAGAAAAAAGGGGGAAGGGGAAAAGGAAAAAAAGAAAGCAAAAAAGGGGAAAGTGAGGAGGGAGGAAAGGAAAAAGAGGGAAAAGGAAAAACTGAAATAAAAGGGAAAAGTGAATAAAAGGAAAGTGGGAAAAGGGGGGAAAGAGAGGAAAAGGGGGAAAAGGGGGAAAGGAGGAAGAGAAAATAGAAAAAAGGAAAAAAGGTGGGGGAAAAGGAGGGAACAAACAAAAAAGGGATAGAAGGGAAAAAGGGGGAAAAAGTGGAAAAAATTAGGAGAAATGAGAAAAGAGAGGGAAAAGGGGGAAGAGGGGAGAAAAAAGGAGAAGAGAGGCAGAGGCAGTGTTCCCTTCCAAGGCCAAGAAGATACATCAGGAAAAGTTTCCCATCCTGAATTCCCGAAGTACCTGCAGTCAGCAATGACGTCATCGAGCAGTTGGAATCCCAGGGCCTCCAGCTCGACCGGAGAGTGGTTGGATTTCAGAGCCACGTGGACCTTCTCCAGGTTTGCCTCCTGCAGGAAAAGTGGAGATCAGGAGCTGAGGAACCACCTGGAACCCCATTCTGCTTCCAGGATATTCCCAGCAAGAGGAAACTCCCAGGGATCAGAGATTTCACTCTGGGTCCCACCAGGGATCTGCATCCAAATGTTTGGAGCTCCAACAGAGAAATCCAACGGGAATTGGCTGAAATTCCCAGATTTGCTGTGGCTGCCCCTGGATCCCTGGCAGTGTCCCAGGCCAGGTTGGACACTGGGGCTTGGATCCACCTGGGACAGTGGGAGGTGTCCCTGCCCATGGAACAGGGTGAGACTGGGTGGGATTTAAGTTCCCTTCCCACCCAACCCATTCCATGATTCCAAGAAGTTCCTCATCCAGTGGCTACACGGCTCTGTCACCAGACTCTCCCCACCTAGAGGTGGCCTCTGTCCCCTCCCGGTGTCCCCAGGGGTGTCCCTGGTCACTCACCAGCCGCTCGGCTCCGTAGAGCAGGAGGTTCTGGGCGTCCATGCGGTGGCCGATGTCCTCCCAGTACGAGGAGAGCACCACCACCGGCTTCACGTTCCCCCAGGGTAGGTAATAGTAGTGACAGCCTGGGGGACAGAACGGCATCACCTCGGGGTGTTGGGATAACGGGATACACCTCTCAGGAGCACGGATGAAGGGAGAAGAGCACAACTGGGATGGGAATTTGCCTCGGAAAGCATTTGGGAGAAAGATGGGAATGGTGTTCCCCAAATCCTTGAGATCCCACCAAGATCCAACTGGATCTGACTCCATGGCTCCACCAGCGAGGCCAGAAACCAGCTCAACATTCCAGGTGGGATGAGATGGAAGGCAGGGAAAGGCCAGAAAAAGGTACACCCAAAAACCACCTCGTGAAGACGAGAGAGGTCCCAGCTTCCCTGCTCTTTCCCAGACACAAATTCCCCATGGGTGAGGTGGAACAACCCTCTGGAGTTGTCTGGTCCAAGCAGGGACACCTTCAGCAGGATCACCTGGACACAACTTCTGGCTTCCCCTGTATCCCTGGAAGTGTCCAAGGCCAGGTTGGACATTGGGATTTGGAGCCACCTGGGACAGTGGGAGGTGTCCCTGAACATGGATGGGGTGGGAATGGCATGGGATTTAAGGTCACTTCCAACCCAAACCATTCCATGATTCTGGAGTCTCCCAGCTGTGGGGGAGCTGGAAGTGTTCACCTGGAGAAGGGAAAAATCCCAGGAATCCTCAGAGTCCCTGAAGGGGGTCCAGGAGAGCTGCAGAGGGACTGGGGACAAGGCCTGCAGGGACAGGACACAGGGAATGGCTGCCACTGGCCAAGGGGAGATTGGGCTGGGATCTGGGCAAGGAATTGCTGGCTGGGAGGGTGGGCAGGGGCTGGGCTGGAATTCCCAGATTGGCTGTGGCTGCCCCTGGATCCCTGGCAGTGTCCCAGGCCAGGTTGGACATTGGGGCTTGGATCCACCTGGGATAGCAGTCCCTGAGCTGGAACGGGCAGGGAATTAAAGCCCGTTCCATCCCAAACCATTCCATAATTCCAGGGTTCTCTTCCACCAGCTGGGTTTGGGTCATCCCAAAGGACAGAATCCGTGCCATGCTCACCATCAAAGACAGCCCGGCTGTACTGGGTGGTGGAGGCCAGGGGCAGGCAGGTGGTGTCGAACTTGTTGCCGTAATTCCCGATGCTGACCTCGAACTGGATGGCGCCGTCCACGCCCTGGAGCATGGTGGCCGAGTAGAAGGCGGCAAAGAGGGAGTATTTCCGTCTGCGCAGGTATTTCTGGAATACAAGCGGGAATTGGACGTGGAGGGGATGCTGGCAATGATCTCCAGGAGGTGGAGCCAGAAGAGGCTGGAGGGTAAATCCTTGAGGAAGGGCTGAGGGAGCTGGGAGAGGGCTGGAGAATCAGGAAAAGCTGAGGGAGTTGGGAGGGGGCTGGAGAGCCAGGAAAAGCTGAGGGAGATGGGAAGGGGCTGGAGAGCCAGGAAAAGCTGAGGGAGATGGGAAGGGGCTGGAGAACCAGGAAAAGCTGAGGGAGCTGACGGAAAGGGGCTCATCCCAGAAAAAAGGAGGATCCAGAGGGACCTTCTGGCTCTGAACAACTCCCTGACAGGTTGGAACCAGGTGGGAGTTGGGATCTGATCCCAGGGAAAAAACAGGATAGGAGGGAATGGCCTCCGGCTGTGCCAGGGGAGCCTCAGGGTGGACTTCAGTAGGAATTTCCTCATGGAAAGGGTGCTCAGGCCTTGGAAGTGCCCAGGGAAGTTTGAAGTCCCCATCCCTGGAGGTGTCCAAGGAATTCCTGGATGTGGCACTCAGTGCCAAGGTGGGCATCGGTCACAGCTTGGACTGGATGACCTTGGAGGGATTCTCCAACCTCATTTATCCCAGGATGGGAATTTTCTTGCAAGGGGAATAACAAACTTTGCAGCATGGGAATCTCAGGGGAACTTTAGGAAAACCAGGTGAAAGAGGAGGCTGCAACTTCTCATGGAAAAAGAGCCAAAGGAGGAAATCTGAGAGAGCTGGAATGAAGGGAAATCTCCCACAATGTCATGGGAGACCTCGGAGCCCCTTGCAGAGCCTGAAGGGGCTCCAGGAGAGCTGCAGAGGGACTGGGGACAAGGGACAGAGGGACAGGACACAGGGAATGGCTGCCACTGGCCAAGGGGAGATTGGGCTGGGATCTTGGCAAGGAATTGCTGGCTGGGAGGGTGGGCAGGGGCTGGGCTGGAATTCCCAGATTGGCTGTGGCCGTCCCTGGATCCCTGGCAGTGCCCAAGGCCAGGTTGGCCATTGGGGCTTGGATCCACCTGGAATCAGGAAAGTTGTCCCTGCCCATGGAACAGAATCCATTTCAAGGTCCATTCCTACCAAACCATTCCATGATCCCACACTTCCCTGCTCATGATGACCAGCTCAGATGGACCAACCTAGATACTTTGGGATGGAAATCCAGCAGGAGACCCCTCCAGGAGCTCACAGACCATGGGACAACCCCCACCCATGGCCTACATCCCTTCCCTAGTGTCCCACAATCCCAGAGATTTTCCAGAAATTCCAATACCTCCACCCTCAGGATGTCATCGGCAGGAATCTCCTCCACTTTCTGCTCCATGTGCTCCACCAGTTTGGTCTCCAGCTCCACCAGGATCCGGCCCCGATACGCGACCCCCTCGCCCTTGGGATAGACCAGGAACAAGAGTCAGGAACCCAGAATTCCCTTCCCGAGGCTGAGCTCTGCCTTTGCTTCCAAGGAGCTTCATCGCAGAGTAGCGGGATCAGGGAAAGAATTCCTGCCGGCGCTTCTGAAGTGGAATTTTGGGAGCAGAGCGGGATCAGGAGGCATTAGCAGGAATAGCCAGGAGCAGGAAACGCAGCACAGGCTCCTGATGACAAAGCCAGGTTGGGTTAGAAGCAGCTTTTTTTGGGAAAAGAGGAGCCGGAGGTTATTTTGGGATGCGCTGGGAAGCAGCCGATGGGGGAGGCATTAGCAGGAATAGCCAGGAGCGAAACGCAGAGCAGGCTCCTGATGACAAAGCCAGGTTGGGTTAGAAGCAGCTTTTTTTGGGAAAAGAGGAGCCGGAGGTTATTTTGGGATGCGCTGGGAAGCAGCCGATGGTCACCTTTCCCAAATTGAGGGTCTCGTAGGGATCGGGAAAGCCGGTGAATTCTCGAGGGCTGCCGTAGAGGTTGATGTAGCAGGGCCCAAAGGTCGGCAGGAATCCCAGCCCGTCATCCACTGGGAATGGCAGGGAAAAGAGGGATTAGGGATTCCTGAAGGCACCCTGAGAACGTGTCACACTCGCTGTAGGGTCACAGGGATCACACAGCTGAAGGCTACCAAAATCCTGGAATTTCCACCCATTTTGAATCCCATGACCTCACCTTAGAGCAGGAGAAAAATATGGAAGGTGTGGTGCTGAATCCTGGGAATTCCCAATTCCAGGAAATGTCCCCATGGAAAAGGGCAAGGTCAGAGAGGGGTCAGACAAGAGTAAGAGCAACAGGAGAGAGGAAAGAGCCTCAGGATGTGCCAAGGAGGTTTAGGTTGGATTTTCGGGAAAATTCCTTCCTGGAAAGGGCTGTCCCCATCCCTGGAGGGACTGATCATCCCTCAGGATGTGGCACTTGGAGACACGGATACGGAGTGGCCTTGAGAGCCAATGGATCAGAGAAATTTTCCAATCCTGTGATTCCATGAGGAGAACCACTTGTTTTTATGGAATTTTGAGTGGGAATCCTGCCCTGAGCTCTGTGTGCCTGCTGGGTCCACATTCCCAACACAACAGCATCTCAGGAATCCCCAAAGGGTCACACCAGAGCAAATCCCTTTTCCCAAGGTGCCCAACTCATCCCAGCTGATCCTCCCCCAGTCCAGAGAGCGGAACCAGTAAAACCAGTCCCGAGAGGTGCTGGTAAACTGGGATGTTACTGGGAACGTACGGTCCGAGGGTTTCAGAGGCTTCACAGGAGCAGGAAACTCATCTGAGGCACAAAGAGAGGGAGAGAGGTTGGAAAGGTTGGAAGAAGAGCATGGAAAAGGGGTGGAGATGGAACTAGGGGGGAGATTCCCACGGGTTTTAGTGCGGAGAGACAGAGAGAGAAAGGGAGAGGTTTTTCATGGAATCATGGAGTCAAGGAATTATGGAGTCATGGAATCCAGGAATTAGAGAATCATGGAATGGTTGGGGTGGGAAGGGACCTTAAAGCCCATCCAGGTGCATCCAGGGACACTTCCCACAATCCCAGATCATTTTGAGCCTTGTCCAACCTGGCCTTGGACAATTCCAGAGGCTGTGGGATTGGGGTGGAGCGAGATTAGAGCATCCCTGAGTTGCATTCCCAGGGATTTCCATGGGATCAAGCAGATGCCAGTGGGATCCCACCATTCCCATCCTCCCTCCCTCTCTCTCTCTGCCTCTCTCCAGCCCATCCCAGGATCTGTGTTGGGATTGGGAAGAGGGGACTGGACAGTGCCGGGGGTGGGACACAGGTGGAGCCTCTGGATTGTGTCCTGATCCATGGAATCACAGAATGGCTTGGAAGAACCTTAAAGCTCATCCTATTCCATGGGTAGGGACACATCCCACTATCCCAGCATGCTCCAAACTTTTTCCAACATGGCCATCCCATGTCCCTACAGCTCACAGGCAGATCACAAAGCCACGTGCAGAATTCCCACTGGGATCGCGGATTCCACGGAAGCGCTGGCAGCAGGAAAAGCTCATGCCAGTGGAAGCTCCAAGTCCTCAGCAGGTCCAAAGCCATGTCCCAAATTCCTGCCCTCCCACATGCACCAGTGACAGTGACATCTGGCTGAACCCTGCCATGCCTGGGGGTCCTTACCTTCAGAAAATTCCCTGGATTTGGAACAGCATGGGCTGGATGGGAATTCCCACCCTGTGACAGCCCCTAAATTTCACCTCAGTGGGCTGGACACCTCAGAGGGGATGGGCTGCCAGCAGCGGTGCCACCACCACCACGTGTCACCAACCTCCAGCACACCATGGACCTGCAACCTCCTTCCCCCCTTCCCATGAATCCACCAAATCCCAAGAATCCACCAAATCCTAAATCCAGAGGGGTTGGATCCATCCAGAAATGGGGCAGAGCTTGAAGCAACCCCAGGACCCCATCCTGTGTCCCCAGACAGGGGCAGTGACAGCTGTGACACTCCTAAAGCCACCACCAACCTCCAACCACACCATGGACCTACAACTTCCTTCCCCCATTCCCAAGAATCCACCAAATCCTAAATCCAGATGGGTTGGATCCAATCTGGAAATGGGGCACAGCTCAAAGTGACCTCAGGACCCCATCCTGTGTCCCCAGGCAGGGATGGTGACAGCTGTGACACCCCCAAAGCCACCACCAACCTCCAGCCACGCCATGCAGCTCCTCCAAGGCCATGCATCCCAAATCCCGGCCTGCTTCCCGCCCTTACCCTCCAGCTCCCCGCCGGGGGCCGAAATCTTGGACATTCCGAGGAAAGCGGTGCCGATGACGTCATTGTGCGTCAGACGATCCCTGTGAGGTGGCATTGTCACTCTGGGGACTGTGGTGGGGGGGATGTCCCCACATCCATCCCGCCACTCCAGTGGGAATGCCCTTCCCGCTCACCAGTCGGTCACACGGATCCTCATCCGCTCGCACATGGAAGGGAACTGGGAAAAGGGATACGGGAAGAGGGTGAGTGGTGCTGGGGACACCGGGAGGGGACCGTGGGGACACCAGTGCTCACCATGGCCGGCAGCGTCAGGCACTGGTTCCACTGGGGGTTGGCGTTTTTCTCCAGGATCCGGGAGTAGAGCTGGAAGGGAGGGATGGAAAGAGGGAAAAGTTGGTGTTGTCCCAGAAAAGCAGCCATTCCTGGAATCCCAGAGGATCCCGCTCCACTGACCGTTTTCCCGGCAAAGCTGACTTCCACAAAGGGATCCACCAGGTTCTTCTTGTTGCTCTCGAAGCCGAAGATCTGCCGGACGTTGTCCATGACGGCATCATCCACTGGGAAAAGAGGGAGATGCCAAAATCCATGGAACTCCACAGCATCCAGAGGGTCCCAGCTGTCCCACCAGTGCGATGAGCATTCCCATGGAGGAGACACTCTCCAGGCGGGAAAAGCAGGGGGATAAAACCAGTTCGGACCAGTAAGAAACTCCTCTCCCATAAAACTGCCCAATATCCTAGGATTACAATATGGATCATTCCCTTCTCCGGGCCCTAATTCCTGCCTGGAATGTTGCGATTCCGAGAAATGTGAGGGAAAAACCTACTCTGGGGCAAATCCTCGGCTTTGAAGATCTTGAGGCAGAACTGGGCCCCCCTGAGGGTGACCCCAGTGGGGCGCAGCAGATTGGCCTCGATGTCCTCTTTGTCCTCGGCCACCTCCTTCTTCTCCAGCTGTGGGAAGAGGATGACAGGAAAAGTCACCCCGGATTGGGGAATGAGCAGGAAAATCCCAAAAGAGAGAGGCTGGATGGATTTGCCATCCCTGGGAGTGTCCAAGGTGAGGTTGGATGGGTTTGGAGTAACTTGGGATAGTGGGAGGTGTCCCTGAACATGGATGGGTTGGGATTTAAGGTCTCCTCCAAACCCAAACCATTCCAGGATTCTGGAGCCCCTCTGCTCTGGGAGAGCTGGGAATGTTCCCCTGGAGAAGGAAAAATCCAGGGAATGCTCAGAGTCCCTGCAGGGGCTCCAGGAGAGCTGCAGAGGGACTGGGGACAAGGGACAGAGGGACAGGACACAGGGAATGGCTGCCACTGGCCAAGGGGAGATTGGGCTGGGATCTGGGCAAGGAATTGCTGGCTGGGAGGGTGGGCAGGGGCTGGGCTGGAATTCCCAGAATTCCAGTGGCTGCCCCTGGATCCCTGGCAGTGTCCAGGGCCAGGTTGGACACTGGGGCTTGGATCCACCTGGGACAGTGGCAGGTGCCTCTAAGCTGGAAAGGGATGGGATTTAACATCTCTGCCAACCCAACCCATTCCAGGATTCCATGAGAAAATGTAGCACTTTTCCCCCAAAACAGAGGAAAATCCAAGCATGGCTTCCCTGCAAATTGGCCAGAATATCCTAGAGCTGGAATATCCCAGGGCCGGAATATCCCAGAGCTGGAATGTCCCCCCATTCCCAGCAGGAATACTCACGGGAGCTTCATCTCCAGGCCCCAGCACGCAGGCGCTGACCTTCAGGTAGCCCTTGGCTCCCGCAGAAAAATCCTCCGGATCTGAGAGGAGCAGCCACTTCCTTCGGAAAGCGTGTTCTGCAGGAAAATATGGAAATCTGGGAATTACTCCTTGGATGTGCAGGGAGGTCAGGAATGCTCCTGGGTGGGGTTCAAATGAAAATCATGGAATGGGATAAGGGAATATTTCAGTTCATTTCCCAGGAAGGGACCAGGGAAGAGGGAGGGGTCTTTGGAACAGAATTCCCGGAGAAGCTGTGGATGCTCCATCCCTGGAAGTTCAAGGCCAGGTTGGATGGACTTGGATCCACCTGGGATGGTGGAATTTTTCCCTGGATGGGACTGGATGATCCTTAAGGTCCCTTCCCACCCAAACCATTCCAGGATTCCATGGTCATGGATTTGGGGTCCCTCTATGGAAGAACTGGGATGTGTGGGCGCATTTCCCAAAAAAAAACCAAAGGAATTTCCCAAGGCTCACTTGGCTCGGAGTAAACGGTCTCCACATCCATCTGCAGGATTAAAGGAAAAGAAGATTCCAGAGTTCATCCAGAACAGGAAACGCTGGGAAAAAGGGATGGGATCTTACCCGGAATTCCCCGATCACTGAATCCGTGCGGAACGATCGAGAATCCACGACCTGAAAATGAGGTAAAATGGGTGATCCAACCCAAACCCTGCTGGGATGGAGGCTCGTGGGGAAGAGGGAAGGGTTTCCCTAGGAAGGGGAGAATTCCAGGTTTTCCCAGCACTCACTGTGAGGAAAATAGGAGCATCGAACAGCTCCGATGGGGACTCGAAGACGTTGAAGAAAAAAGTCTGTGGAAAACCAGCATGAAGATGAGGCATTATCCCAGTTTTCCCCCCAGAGTGCATTCCCACATCCCAGCCTCTCCCAGGAATCCTTGGAGTGGGAATTCCCGCTGACCTCATCGAAGAAGGGGCTGTTGCCTTTCCGGATCCGCGTTCTCCGGGTTTGTCCGGCCACCGTCACCTTCACCACCGGCCGGATCTGGATCCCGGGAAGCTGCCGGGCCTCGATGACCCTCACCCGGATCTGGGATGGGATGGAGGACAGGGAATCAGCGGAATGGGAATCACCGGGATCATCCCAGGGGATGGAAGACAGAGAATCACTGGGATCATCCCACAGAATGGAAGACAGAGAATCACTGGGATCATCTCTAGGGATGAAGAATGAGGAATCACCAGGATGAGAATCACCAGGATCATCCTATGCGCTGGAGGACAGGGAATCACCAGGATCATTCCATGGGATGGAGGACAGGGAATCACCAGGATCATTCCATGGGATGGAGGACAGGGAATCACCAGGATCATTCCATGGGATGGAGGGGGATGGGATGGGATGGGATGGGATGGGGGACAGGGAATCACCAGGATCTGGGATGGGGTGGAGGACAGGGAATCACTGGGATGATCCCATGGGATGGAGGACAGGCAATCACCAGGATCATTCCATGGGATGGAGGACAGGGAATCACCAGGATCATTCCATGGGATGGAGGATGGGGAATCACAAGGATCATCCCATGGGATGGAGGACAAGGAATCACCAGGACAACCTGCAGCATTTTATGGGAACAGCTCATCCCACCTGGAAATCCTGTGGTTTGTTGGATAAAGGTTTTTTGGGAGAGCTCCTCCTCCTCCTCTTCACCCCCTGGATGTGATTCCCAGATGGTTTCCTTGGGAATGTGGGCGGCTCTGAGCCCGGTGCTCCTGAGGACGCTGAGGGCTCCGTGTCCGCCGTGGCCTCCGGATCTTCTGTGTCCTCCTCTCCGGCCGTCTCTGCCCAGCGGAAGAAGGGAAACGTGGGATTTTGGAATGGGTTTGGATTCCAAAAACCGGGATGGGGAGGGGTTGTGGTTACCGGTGACCGTGTCCAGCTCGGCTGCAGCCGGGGCCGGCTCCGGAGGGGCTGGAGGTGGGAAAAGCGGGACAGCACCCGGAGGGGGGATGTAGGACACCTGCAGGAACAGGGAAGCCTGGAAAACAGGGAATGAGTGTCAGAGAGGCCAGGATGGGAGAACTGGGATCAAACTGGGAGGGAAGGGATTCAGACTGGTGTCAAAACTGGGAGCTTCAACTGGGAGGGACAGGACTCAAACTGGGATCAGACTGGGAGGGACAGGACTCAAACTCGGATCCGACTGGGAGGGATCTGGCTCAGACTGGGATTAAACTGGGAGGGAAGAGATTCAGACTAGTCTCAAACTGGGAGCTGCCACTGGGAGGGACATTGCTCAGATTGGTTCCAAACTGGGAGCCCCAACTGGTCCCAGACTGGGAGCCCAAACTGGTTCCAAACTGGGAGCCCCAACTGGTTCCAAACTGGGAGCCCAAACTGGCCATGGTATGACTTGTACTGGTCCCAAACTGGGAGCCCCAGTTGGCCATGCCATGGCTTATACTGGTCCCAAACTGGGAGCCCAAACTGACTATGTCATGACTTGTACTGATCCCAAACTGGGAACCCCAATTGGTCCCAAACTAGGAGGATTCCTGACCCTGCCATGATTTGTACTGGTCCCAGACTGGAAGTCCCAACTGGTCCCAAACTGGGAGCCCCCCTGGTCATGCTATGGCTCATACTGGCCCCAAACTGGTCCCAAACTGGGAGCCGGGCACTCACCCCGGTGCTCTCCTTGCGCGAGTCCAGCAGGGGGAGGTTGAATGAGGCCGCCAGGCTGGGAGTGCCCAGAACATCCCGGAGCGGCACACGGCATTCTCCCAAAAACCTGCGGGGAACAGGGAGAGGGCTCAGGGCTGCTCCAAGGGCATCCAAACCATTCCAGAGCCAGGGATGGGAGTCCAGAGGAGGCTCCGGAGATGGAGCCAGGCTGGGAGAGCTGGGAATGTTCCCCTGGAGAAGGGAAAAATCCAGGCAATTCTCAGAGTCCCTAAAGGGGCTCCAGGAGAGCTGCAGAGGGACTGGGGACAAGGGACAGAGGGACAGGACACAGGGAATGGCTGCCACTGGCCAAGGGGAGATTGGGCTGGGATCTTGGCAAGGAATTGCTGGCTGGGAGGGTGGGCAGGGGCTGGGCTGGAATTGCCAGATTGGCTGTGGCTGCCCCTGGATCCCTGGCAGTGCCCAAGGCCAGGCTGGGATGGGGCTTGGAGCAGCCTGGGAGGTGTCAGCCGGAATCTTCCTGCTCCGGGATCCAGGACCCTCCTCCCATTTTCCCGTGGCTATTTATGGGCACCCAGGACTTGGAGCAGCCCCAAATTCCAGCCCCCTTGGATTTCAGCCCAGCAGCAATTCCAGCCTCAGCTCCAGCTCTGGAATCAAGATCCTTCCTGCCCCGGGCCGCATTCCCAACCTCTTACCCCTAAAAATAAATCCCTTCCTTTATTTTTTCCTTTTTCCAAGCAGCTCACCCACCCCACAGAGCCGGGAAAGGCCGGGAATCACCGGAATCCCCTCGTTCCTCACCCAGCAGGAGCCCCCGATCCACAGGGAACCCCTGGAATGGGGGAGCACCGGGATCAGCCAGAGGAAGGAAACGGGAGGCTCCGCTCCCATCGCCGTTCCCGGCACTGCCGGCTCCTTGGGAGTGATCTTGGCAGCGCTTCCCAAATCCTGGCCAAGTGTCTGAAGTGTCTGTCCCCAAACAACCACCCCCTGTGTATTCCCGACCTTCCAACGCTGGAATTTCCCCCGGATTCCGAGCGAAGCAGCCCAAAAATGTGGCTCCAGCCTCCCACAGCCATCCCACAGTGGGAATCCGCGGAGTCTGGGAAGAGCTGGTTGAATCCCGGGAATGGGAAAAGGGAGAAGGGGCCCTGTCCAGCCCCGGAATTTTTCCCACCTGTTTCTTCCCACGGTTTCATGGTCCTTGACCACCACGGTGAGCTCGGCATCGGGATCCAGCGGAATTCCCTTCAGATCCCACTCAAATCCCTGGACAAAAGAGGAGGGAGAGGCTGGGATCAGCATCTGGAAGTGGAGAACCCAAATCCCAAACCCCCTCGGAATCACAGCATTCCCAAAGCCAAATTTTCCAGCAAATCCACCAGGAAAAGTTGCCTTGGGAAAAAGTTTTCCTTGGCCATGGATTACCAGGAAGGAGCAAATCCTGGGAGCTGCTCCAGCCCCAAATCTGTGCCCTTTTTCCCACCAAATTCCCTTTTTTTTGGAATTTTGGCCCATGGGAGCACAAGGACAACGTTGGAAGGGAAAAGGTGCTGGAAAAATTCCCATTCCATAGAAATTCCTTGAAACATTCATGCCAAGACTGGATAAGACCTTGATGGAAGGGGAAGAGATTGGAATTCTGCCTGGAATTCTGGAACAGAAAGGGAACGATCCCAAAATTTCCATGGGGCAGAAGCCCCAGGGAATCACCTGGACTCGGGGATGTTTTCTGGGAACAGGGATAAATCCAGGGACTGGGAATTCTCACCTCATTCCAGACAGGATTCACATTGTTCTTGATGACCTTTGTCCTCTTCTTGACACCTGGAAGGCGAAAAACCGGGATTGGGATCTTCCCAGGGTTTGGGAGCTTCCCAAAGATCAGGAGCATCCCAAGGATCAGGATCCCTGAATGAAACTCTGATCTCAGCTGGGGCTGAGCTTCCAGGCATTCCCAGAATTCCCAGAATCAGGATCAGGCTCCATTCCCTGATCCCAGGTGGAGCTGAACTTCCAGAAATTCCCAGGGCCAGGACTGGATCCCATTCTCTCCTCCCAGCTAGGACTGAGCTTCCAGAAATTCCTACAATCCCCAGGATCAGGATCCAGCCCCATTCCCTGTTCCCAAGCAGAGCTGGGAATGCAGAAATTGGATCCAGGATCCCACTTGGATCCCCAACCCTTCCATGTTGGAAAATGCGCTGGAAAATCCCATGGAACCCCCTCCTTGCTGTGCCTCAGTTTCCCCAGGAGCATCCAAAGGTTTCCAATTCCAAGGGAATTCAAGGTGGGAAGAGCCAGAGGAGATCCCAAACATTCCCAGTCTCGGGATTGTGCCTCAGTTTCCCCAGGATCCCCTAAAAACTGAAGGTGGGAATCCCGGGATTCTCCCGCAGACATTCCCCATCCTGGAAATGCATCCACCCCCTTCCCAAAGCCACGCCCCCCTCATCCCTCCTGGAATGTCGCCGCATCCCAAGGGAGGGACCCCCGCGGGAAGAGGAAAAGGAAAAGGCCAAACAATGGAGGTGACTCAAATCCCGGGAGACGCCGGGATATTCCAAATATTCCCGGTTTTCCGCTCTATTCGCACCGTTCAGTGACTCCTGCCCTATCTGGGATTGGGGAAGAGCCGAACTTCCCGGCTGTGGGAATATGGAAAACTCATCCTGCTGTTTGTCCTCATCCAGAGATTCATTCCCATCTCGTTCCTGATTTTTTCCCGGGATTCAGAGCCCTGGAATTGCCCTGGATCGGGATTTGGTTGAAGATGGAGCTCCCAGGATTCTCCAGAGGGATCCCGGTGGGAATGGGATCAGCAGCACCCCCATTCCAAATGGAAAACCTGGACCGGGAGCCGCTCGTCCATTTCCCTAATTTTTGTTTAAAATGGGATTTCTTCCCATTTTTTTCGAGCTCCAGGAAAATGCCAGGGCAGCGCCGTCCTCCAGCAGGAATTTTGTGAGTGCGAACCCCTCCGTTTTCCCAGGAAATCCATCCCTCGGGAATGGGATAACCCCTGCTCCGTGTGGGATTATTCACATCCATCCCAGTGCAGAATTCAGGGATTTAAAGGGATGGAATTCCCAGGGATAATCCAGCGTGGATTTAAAAACTTTGGGATCGAGGGGATAAAAGGTGCAAAGGGAATGATTTTCCAAGGATTTAGGAGCTTCCCAGATCCCAAACTTCCCTGGGAGCTGCTTCCAAAGCAGCTAAAAACATTCCAAACCCTCCCTTCTTTCCCCAAAAAAAAAACCAAAAAACAAAAACCGGGATTCCCTCACCTCGGAATGTCAGGCTGGCCACGGGATCGATTTGTTTATCCCGCTTTTCCAGGCTGGGAAGTTGGGAAGCCCTTTGGAGCAGGCAGCGGAGCATGGCCGGGATCGGGAAAACCGGGATCGGGAAAGCCGGGGTCGGGAAAGCCGGGGTAAGGATCCGCTCCCTGATCCCATTCCCACCCCCTTTTCCCGGTCCGGCCCTTCCCGGCACGGGAACGCCCCTGGAGGGGCTGGGAAAAAACCGGGATCGTGGGAAGGAGAGCTGGGATTGGGGGGAGATGGGGAGGGCGGGAGTTGGAATTAAATCCCCGGGATTCAGGGAGGCTGCAATTCCCAGGGATGGGCGAACACGGGGATTTGGGAATGCTGGGAACACCAGGGATGGGGAATAAATCCCTGCGATTCAGGGATGCTCCACAGCCTGAGGATGACCCAGCACAGGAATCTGGGAATGCTGCAATTCCCAGGGATGGGGAAATCAATCACCGGATCCCAGGAATTAGAGGTGGGAAATGAAATCCTTGGGAGCCAGGAATGCTGGGAATATCAGGGATGGTGAAACCTCGGGATTTGGGGATGCTGGGAATCCCAGGGATGGGGAATTTAATCAATGAAAATTCAGGAATTTAATCGTTGGAAATTCAGGAATTCTGGAAACCCCAGGGATAGCCTGGCACTGGGATTTGGGAATACTGGGAACCCCATAAATGGGGAATGAATCCCTGGGATTCAGGGATGCTCCAAGGCTTGAGGATGAGCCAGCACCAGGAACTGGGAGTGCTGCAATTCCCAGGGATGGGGAATAAAATCCTTGGGAATTCAGGAATGCTGGGAACCCCAGGGACCAGGAATAAAATCTTGGGATTTGGGAATGTTAGAAAGCCCAAGGATGGGAAATAAATCCCTGGGATTTGGGGATCCTGCAATTGCCAGGGATGGGGAATTAAATCATTCGGAGTTCAGGAATTCTCAAAACCCCAGGGATAACCTGGCACAGGGATTTGGGAATGCTGGGAACCCCAAGGATCCCCCCAAACACCAGAATTTGGGAATTCCAGGAACCTCAGGGATGGGGGATAAATCCCTGGGATTCAGGGATCCTCCAAAGCCTGAGGATGACCCAGCACAGGAATCTGGGAATGCGGCAGTTCCCAGGGATGGGGATGATATCCTTGGATCCCAGGAATTTTGGAAACCCCAAGGATCCCTCAAACCCCTGGATTTGGGAATACTGGGAGCCCCAGGGATCCCCCAAACGCTGGGATTTGGGAATGCTGGGAACCTCAGGGATAGGGAATGAATCCCTGGGATTCAGGGATCCCACAATCCCCAGGGATGAGAAATCAAAACATCAGGACCCGGGAATTCTGGAAACCCCAAGGATATCCCAGGACTGGGATTTGGGATTGCTGGGAACCCCAGGGATGGGCAATGAATCCCTGGGAATTCCTGGATCCTACAAGGCCTGAGGATGCCCCAGCCCCGGGATTCGGGAATGCCGCAATCCCGGCAACATCAAACCCCCAAATCCTGGGAATTCCGGGTGAGCGGAACACCGGGAATGCCACACCCACACCGGGAGAATTCCATGGAAAACCGGGAACGCTCCCTCATCCAGGAACACCCGGGAAATCCCAAAAAGACGCTTTTTCCAATTAAAAAAAAAATCCCAACCAACCAACCCGTGACGTCACTTTGTCCTTTGTCCCCTCAATGTCACTTTTGTCCCCAGAGGGAAAGGACCCCGGGAAGGGACCCCTGGAAGAGACAATTCCCAAATTTGGGATCGTCCCCTCCCCCGCCCTGCGGAAAATCCCAAAATAACCGCGGCGCCGGCACCGCGCGGGGACCGGGGGTGGCTTTAGGGGGGTCCCCAAGTGCCACCAGCGGGGTGGCGACACCAAAGAGGGGGCGGCGACAACGCGGACAGCGAGCAGCCGCGGCTCCTCCAGCCACATCCCAGATTCTCGGGACAAAATTCCCTCAAATTTAGCCAAAAAAAGAATTTTGGGGTTTTTTTGCCCCTCTGGAGCTTCTCACGCTGGAATGGGGAGGGGACACCAAAGGGGCGGCGGCGACAGCGGGGACAGCGGGGTCCGGCGGCGCTTCCAGCCCCATCCCAACATTTAGGGCCGCCAAAATCCCCCCAAAACCCCCCAAAATTCCCGTGAATCCCGATTATTTTCCCCTCTGGAGCTTCATACTTTGGAATGGGGAGGGGACACCAAAGGGGTGGCGGTGACAACGGGGACAGGGGGGACGCGCGGCTCTTCCAGCCACATCCCAACTTTTAGGACCGAGCCGGGCGTGGCCGAACCTCCCCGAAATTCTCCCAAAACCCTCAAAATCACCCCAAATCCCAGGGGTTTTTTTTCCCTCTGGAGCTTCCCACCTTGGAATGTGGAGGAGCAGTAGGTGTCGCTGATGTCGCTGTCGCCTGTGAGGACATTTTCGGCCCGCAGGACGAAGACGCGGAGCATCGTCCCCTCCCCCACCCCTCTGCATCCCCCCCTTCCCAAAAAAAAAAAAAAAAATCCCGGGATTTCCCCCCCTCCCCCCTCCAAGGCTCCGCCTCCCTTAAAGGGACCCGGGCCCGGGGGTGGGGGAGGGGCGGGGCTGCGGCGCCACCCCCCCCTTGGGGACATCGGGGGGATTTGGGGGACACTGCAGCCACACATTGTCCCCAGGAGGGAGTTTTGGGGCCACCACACCCTCAGTGTCCCCAGGATGCAAAGTCTGGGGTTCTCAGTCACCCTTTGGGGACATCGGGAGGGATTTTGGGGTCCCTACAGCCCTAAATTGTCCCCAAGAGGGAATTTTGGGGTCGCCACTCCCTCAGTGTCCCCAAAAGGGAATTTTGGGGTCTCCAACCCTCATTTTGTGCCCTGAGAGGAATTTTGGGGTCCCAAATCCCACCCACTGTCCCCAAGGCAGGAATTTTGGGGTCCTCACCCTCCCCTCTGGGGACATTGGGAGGGATTTTGGTGTCCCCACTCCCTCATTGTCCCCAAGCAGGGAATTTTGGGGTCCCCACCCCTCCCTGGGAGACGTTTAGAGGGATTTTGGGGTTCCCACTCCCTCATTGTCCCCAAGCAGGGAATTTTCAGGTCCCCAACCCCACTTTGGGGACATCAAGGGGCTTTTGGGGTCCTCAATCCCCCCGGATCCCTAAGGAGGGAATTTTGGGATCCCCACCTCCCCAGTTTTCCCTGGGATGGGAATTTGGGATTCCCAACCCCCTTTTTGTGTCCCATGGGGGATTTGGATTCCCCACCCCCATTATGGGATTGGCATTCCCGGCGGGAACAGCTGGGAATGGCCCCGCCCCCGGCTATTTTTGGGAATTCTTTCCAGCCCAGGCCTTTCCCAGAAAGCAGCTCTGGGAGATCCTGCCCCAAATCAGGGTGGGATTAGGATCCGGGATCCCTGATCTCACCCCAAACTGGGATGGGATCTGGGATTCCCAAACCAGGATGGGCTCCGGGATCTGGGATTCCCGATCCTGCCCAAACTGGGATGTGGATCCACAGTCTGGGATCTGGGATCCCTGATCTCACCCCAAACCAGGATGGGATCCACAATCCGGGATCCCTGATCCTGCCCTAAACCGGGATGGGATCTGGGATCCCCAATTCTGCCCCAGACCAGGATGGGATCTAGGATCTGGGATCCCTGATCTCACCCCAAACCAGGATGGGATCTGGGATCCCTGATCCTGCCCCAAGCCAGGATGGGATATGGGATCTGGGATCCCTATCTCACCCCAAACAGAATGGGATCCGAGATCTGGGATCCCTGATCCTGCCCCAAACCGGGATGGGATTGAAATCTGGGATCCCTATCTCACCCCAAACCAGGATGGGATTGGGATCTGGGATCCCCAATCCTGCCTCAAACCGGGATGGGGTTCTGTGATCTGGGATCCCTGATCTCACCCCAAACCAGGACAGGATTGGGATCCGGAATCTGGGATCCCCAGTCCCACCCCAAACCAGGATGGGATCTGGAATCTGGGATCCCCTTTTCCCTGATACCCCCCTGATCCCATCCCCTCATTTCCGTTCCTCCCTCTTTGTGTTTATCCCGTTCCCATTTTTCCTTCTTTGGGTTTATCTGACCCCATTCGCTCTTTGCTCTCTTTGGGTTTATCCCATTCCAGTTTTTTCCTTCTTTGAGTTTACCCCATTCCTACTTTTCCCTTTTTGGGTTTATCACATTCCAGTTTTTCCTTCTTTGGGTTTACCCGACCCCATTCCAGTTTTTCCCCCTTTGTGTTTATCCCTTTCCCATTTTTCCCCCTTTGGGTTTATCCCATTCCTACTTTTCCCTCTTGGCTTTATCCCTTCCCATTTTTCCTGGCCCCAAATCCCAGGATCAGCTGTGACTCCAAAGCCGGCAGAGCCAGGATTGGGACCTGGGGATTTGGGGGAAATTCGGGATTTGGGAGAAATTTGGGATTTAGGGGAGGTCAAAGCCGAGGGCACCCACGGGAATGGGAAGGGACATCGGTGCATGTCCCCAGGCCCTGTGCCATGTGAGTGTCCCCAAGCCCTGCGAGTGTCCCCAACGCCTGTGCCACTTGTGTGTCCCCAACACCCGTGCCTGTCCCCACCTCATGTCCCCAGCACCTGGGCGTGAACTCACCGCCTGTCAATGTCCCCATGGGGAGTGCCACATGTGTGTCCCCAACACCTGTGCCATTGAGTGTCCCCATCACATGTCCCCAACACCTGGGAGTGTCCCAATGGCATGTGCCACTTGTGTGTCCCCAACACCTGTGTGTGTCCCCAACATGTGTCATGTGAGTGTCCCTGTACATGTGCCACGCATGTCCCCAACACCTCTGCATGTCACCAACACCCGTGCGTGTCCCCACCACCTGTGACTGTCCTCACCACCCGTGCCACCCGTGCTCACTCACGGTGCCACCACCCCAGGCTGGTCACGGTGTCACCCCCGTCCCCAGCACGCGTGGCCCGTCCCCACGGGTGTCACCAGCTGTCCCCACGGGGGTCACGCGGTGTCCCCAGCCGCGCTGCCAGCCCCGTGTCGCCGCTCGGTGTCCCCGCCCCGTGTCGCCATCCCCGTGCCGGTGCCAGCTGTGCCACCCCCCCGCCCCCCGCGCTGGCACCGCCACCTCCTCATTAACCTTTCTTGATTAACGCAATTAATTCCAGCTCCTCCTGCGCTCATCCCGGCGCGCGGGGGCGGGGGGAGGTGACAAGAGGTGACACCGCAGCTGGAGGGGACCGGGGGTGGCCTGGGCGGGGGGGACACGGGGCTGGGGCAGCTCCCGGGAGCATTCCCGGATTCCAGCGTTGGGAATGAGCCGGGGCCGGGCGTGGGGACATCCCCGCTGTGTCCCCAAGGGGTGGGGACAGCGGGGTGACACCGGTGTCACCATCCCGGGGGTGACAAATGCCGGGAGTCGCAGCTTTTCCACGAGGTCTTTAATTCCCCCTCGGGCCCCCGGCCACGCCCTGCGCCACCTCCGCGAGGGGGGGACATTGTCCCCAAAGGTCACCCCCCCAGCCCGGGGTAGGGGGGACACGCGGTGACACCGAGAGGGGACAGACACGAGGGGAGGGACACGAGCCACCCCCGAGCGGAGGAAAAGGGGAATGTTGGGAATTCTTCCCGTTTTATGTACAAAATTCCCGGCTGGGGGAGGGGACAGGGACACCCAGGGACCACCCCCCTCCCTGTGGTCAAAATAAATCTGATAATTAATATCGATAATAATGGCGATAATTAATGGCAGGGGACAGGGACTGCGGTGTCCCCACACCCCGGGTGGCATCAGGATCCTCATCCCGGACAGGCGGAGATCCGGGATCTGGGATCAGATTCTGGAATTGTGGGTGAGGCTCTGGATTGGAGTGGGGAGAGAGCCGGGAAAGGCGGGAGGAGCCGGGTCCCACCGGAGCATCCGTCCTGTCCTGGGGTATCCAGGATATTCCCACCCGGAGCATCCGTCCCACCTTGGAGTATCCATCTCTCCTGGGCACGTCCATCCTGCCCCAGATCAGCCCTCCTGCCTTGGAGTATCCATGGCTCCATCATCCATCCATCCATCCCTCCATCATCCATCCATCCATCCATCCATCCATCCATCCATCCATCCATCCATCCATCCATCCATCCATCCATCCATCCATCCATCCATCCATCCATCCATCCATCCATCCATCCATCCATCCATCCATCCATCCATCCATCCATCCATCCATCCATCCATCCATCCATCCATCCATCCATCCATCCATCCATCCATCCATCCATCCATCCATCCATCCATCCATCCATCCATCCATCCATCCATCCATCCATCCATCCATCCATCCATCCATCCATCCATCCATCCATCCATCCATCCATCCATCCATCCATCCATCCATCCATCCATCCATCCATCCATCCATCCATCCATCCATCCATCCATCCATCCATCCATCCATCCATCCATCCATCCATCATCCATCCATCCATCCAGATCATCCCCCCTGCCCAGGAGCATCCATCTTCTCCTGGATCATCCCTCTAACCCTCAATATCCACCCTATTCCAGGGCCTCCATCCCACTTTGGGTCATCCATCCCACTTTGGATCATCCATCCTTTTCCAGAGCTTCCATCCCACCTTCGAGCTTCCATCCAACCTAGAACATCCCTTCCATCCTGGAGTATTCATCCTGCCTTGGATCATCCTTCCTTTTCTAGAGCATCCATCCCATCTTGGATAATCCCTCTCACCTTGAATCATCCATCCTATTCCCAAGCTTTCATCCCATCCTGGATCATCTGTCCCTCCTGAATCATCCACTCCACCTTGGAACATCCATCCCATCTTGGATCATCTATCCCACCTGGATCACCCAACCCATCCTGGAGGTTCCATCCCGCCTCGGATCATCCTTTTCTGGAGCATCCATCCCATATTGGAACATCCATCCAACCTTGGAGCATCTATCCCACCCTGGATCATCCACCCCACCTTGGATCACGCATCCCAACCTGGAACATCCATCTCATCCCAGAGCATCCATCCCACCTGGATCATCCAACCCATCCTGGAGTTTCCATCCCACCTGGATCATCCATCCTACCTTGGATCACCCGTTGCACCTGGATCATCCTTCATTTTCCAGAGCTTCCATCCCATCTTGGATCGTCCATCCCACCTTGGAGCATCCATCTCATCCCAGAGCATCCATCCCACCTTGGATCATCCCTCCCATCCTGGCCCACCCCTCCTGCCCATCCCGGCGTCTCCACCCCGCTCCCTCCTCTGCCCCATTCCCGGCTCTCTCCGCCTCTTCCCGAGGCCGAACCCAGGAATTTTGGCTCATTCCAGGATTTCCCCAAGTCCCCCCTCAGCTGGGCCAGGCCGGGGCCGCCAGGGGTGGGGACATCAGGGGGCCGGGTCCCCTCATCCCGCTCCGCGTGGCGGCTCCGCCCAGCTCTGAGGGGAGGGCACAGGGGACAGGGATGTCCCCAGTCCTT